ATTTTGAAAAAATGATTATAAATATGTGGAATAAACATGTCTCTTCACTCGAACATCCTGAATCTGTGACCATATAAAATAATAGTCAATAAAAATTGACACTCAGCTCAAAATGTCACAAAATTAAATCAATTTCTTCTGAAAATTCTTCTTCAAGCTTTAAACTATTCTGAACAGTATGTTACAATTATAATATGTATATCTATTCACATTCCCAGTCCAACGCTTGATTCAAAATATAATATATATTTGGGTACAAGTTGTCTTGGGTACCAGTTGTCTTGGGTACGACTTGTCTTGGGTACGAGTTGACCAGTTACCCTTGGAAAGTTTTTTTGCGTGGAGAGCTATTTACAATATTGTCTAATACAATTACAAAAGGAAAATTGCGTAGAGACATTAAGGATCCCCTGTACTTTCGTTTAAAATATGCCTAGAAATTACAAAAATGCTCCGGTGGCATTTCCAGCTCCCAATATTTTTATTTTTCTAATTTAACAAAATAGAGACGCATGGCTTGGAAACGAAAAAAAGTTTTCATTAGTAAAAACGACTGCCCAATAAATGATCACGTAATCAAATACTTCATAAGTTATTTGTTTTACAACCACGGTGTCCAACCCAAACGCTCTTACGTGCATGAAGGAGCGTTTCATTCATGCGGAAACGCTGCGGAGCGAAATAAAATGGCGGCTAATGAAGATCCCAGTATGACCGTAAGTATTGTTTCACTCGTTTCTCTTTCATATCATACGTTATGGTGACATATTATGTACCATTCGATGAACAATACCCTGAGCAAAGATCTTATTTATTCAACTTCTGGTGGTAAACTGTTATTTGCTTGATCAAAGCTCCGTAGTGTAGATCGAACGAATCTGAGGTTGACGAATTTACCACAAATTACGAATTAAACTAGTATTTATATGAAAACGTCAATCTTTCTGTCAAAGTAGTAGATCACAAACCTACTTATATTCTCATTTTCTAAGATCCCAGTCCAAATCCATTACTTGTTCTCGAGAAAACGCTTGTTTTCCTCGAAACGCTCCGTCGATTTCGGACACAATTTTAGAAACGCTCTTACCATTTTGTTTTGATATTATTTTCAGATTATTAGAGAAGAGTTCGGAATTGAATCTATCTCTCAAAAACGTGTTGTACTCGCGCGTTAGGCAAATTGAAACGTCCCAACCTGGTGGTGCTAAACGTGAAAAGATGATGTTATGCCTACATGTGTGCTAAAACATAAAACTATTGACAAAATACAAAAAGTTTATATGTGAAAGATGATGATGGTGCGCCTTTTTTAATAGATCTCATATCTTAGAAAGGGTATCAGTTAAAAAAAACTAGATGACCTAACATATTTTGCCATGCATTGCGTCTATTCATTTGGCAATTCAGTTGTAAATTTTCTCTTAAAAAATAAATCTTCCAAATTTGTTGAGTTTTCTTGCAGAAATCGCCTAATCCCCCCTCCATTCATTTTGTACGATCACCGGGCGTGTGAGGACCTTTCGTGTTCAAAATAACAGTGTTGCGTCATATAAAGTCCGTATGTCGTAGTTTGAAGTTTATTCAGCCCTTGTGTTTGCATATGGTTTAAGTAATATAGTATTTTATATTTCTGTGAAAAGAGCGACATCAACTTATGTGTCGGTAATCGAAAAACCGATGACAATTATGGACGTATGGAACTATAAAATAATGGAGAATAAATGTCTTAAAATGACGTTTGAAATCACAGACTTACTCCAACTTGTATGATGCCAATGTTGAGTTAGTGAGTTGCAAAATCTCCCTCTGTTATATCGATGATTCTGTTGTCGTCTGGACTATATGTTAGCAAACGTATAGATTTTCTTAAACACATGATTCTGACACAATTTTGTGATATAGGGATTCGTTAAAATTCTGCCTACAACTCGTGAAACAAGAAAATAATAAAAATTATACCTTCGAGGTTTCGACATTTTGTTACCGAAATGGACCCGTTTCGTGCTAGTTTGAAGTTAAAATCATGTACACGTTTTTCACGAAATAGCTTAAAGATGTTGATGCGTATTTGGGTGAGTGCATCCCGGGTCAATGCCACGTAATACGCTTTAATATCGTCAGATGTGCTGTTTGCTCATCCTGAAATTAAAACAACGATTATTAATTACTCACAAAATAAGCCGATCATTTCCATATTGTCTGCGAATATCAAGGGGTTGATAACGACTATTAAAGTTCATTGAAATGTCAATCCTGCTAATGGTGCCACCCGCGCTCGTATGTTCAAATTTCCTATCACGTACATTGTGACTGATCGTGATGTTACAAAACACATTTACAGGAAATGACACAAGATGAGACAACTCGCGAACCTCCTGCAATGGGAAGGAATGCCTTAAAGGAACCATGGCGTAGTAATAGCATAATTGATTTTAGACGGTCTAATTTCCTCGGTAATATTCACTGTCATATAAATCGTTATTATTTATTTACAGAACTTTGTGATTATCCGTTTTACGTGTCTTCAGACCTAACGACTCGGACATTGACACTGTGGCATCTACTTTGGGGGTATTAAAAGTGTTATTATTCTCGTGATGTTTCAAGTTGAAAATTAAAGGTAGTATCATATTTTGCTTTTCCACTGCAAGTTGAGATCTAAAAAATGATTAGAGATCTCTTTAAATTTAATAGGTGGTATCACCACATTATTCAAAAAATAATAATTTTCTTAAATGATCTGTACTAAATATAGATTAAGTTAAACCATGCCCAAAATTTTAAAGCCCCCATATAAAGTTTAAACCACTTTGGCTTATATTGTAGTCTTACCCAATGTTATCAAAGTGTCGTATGTGAAACTTTTTATTTTAATTTCAAAAAGTGGTTTTTGAAGGACTTTTTGTTCGGAAAATCGTGAATTTCTTTAAAACAAACTTTTAGAGGTTACACGTATCTTTTGATAAGCAATACTTCATACCAATGCACAGCATTCATCCTCACATATTTTTTGCCGAAAGAATTAAGAAAATCGGTTCATAAATAAGCGAGAAATGATCTCATCAACCAATGAAAATGGTTCAGAGAAAAATGCATTTCAAAATTTTAGTTCTCATAGAAACCAATGGTACAATAATATCTAAAACACAATATAGTCTTCCATTTAACCTGGTTAGAAAATCAACATTGATTTATTTTTGAAGTTTAGCATATTTCGAAAAGATTGACATCGAAAAAAATCTTCATTTTTTCAAAACTTTTTTTTGCCACCTGAGTGAGTCATCGATTACATCACTCAGCCCGTTTTCGAGAACGTAGTGAGAACTAGTTTGGTGTGATAGTAGGGTTAGATGGCATTTTATTATTGAAACAGTGTGTCCTTTGTTCAATCTTTGCATAGGTGTTAAAAAGATAATCTTTTTTTTTGAAATGTATGGTGGTATATTTGATGATTAAAAGATTTCAACTTTTTTATGAAAAATGGCGGGAAATTTGAATACTTGAGAAATGAAAATAAAAATTTATTTTCAAACATTACACGGGGACTTTAATGGACACGGGGGGTGAATTATAGTAGGGGATATTGAATATAAAGCGTGAATGTGGCCGACATACACTGTACTAATGAACAAATCTTAATTTCAACAAATTGAATTAGACGAAATAACTTTTTGACAGCGATAAAAAAAAATGGTACCACTTTGGGCATGATCATCATTGCTCACGATACATTAGAATTTAGAACGTGTATACGAAACAAACATCAATAAGTCAAATCTGAAAATTTTGCAGCTACTAGAGTATTACATGGAACGTGTTTTCCGAACATCCCAAAACCTTATATTATTCTATTTAACAGAATACCATTTATTTGAAGAATTCCAAAAAGCAATGTTTTAAAACTTACTTGGAGTAATCAGAATAATGAGGATTAATTATAATATATCGCAAATGATGTGTCGACAAAAACATTTGGATACATACGTCCCGAATAGAATAGCATAGCAAAGAATAGAACAGAAGGCTGAATGTATGATGGGGCCGGTTAACCCCCATATTATTTTGAACCTTTCAAAAAATAAATAATCCCCGTGAGGTATGCTGTCAATGACTATGGAAGCTTAATGTGAATTTAATTAAATAAGGTTATATTTTCGGTTCGATAATCATATATAAATTCCATTGGAAACAATGATACCATGATTCAGAGTAAATCACACTGATACTCACCTAGATACGCTGACGATACGTGAGCGTAACAAGATGGACGAACTTCCGGGCTTGGTTTTCGTTAAGATATTTTTATTTCTCGATTCTACACAATGCCAATATTTATGAAGATCGTCAACGTAGCAAAAGCGAGGGACTAAATATGTGAATTGCGTCTTCGTTAATATACCAAAACATAGAACCGCCTGCATATTCTCAAACTAGAGTAACTTCCTTAACTTTGAGCCAGATTATTGTCCACAACTTGGTGTAGAATCGAGAAATAAAAATATATTACCGAAAACGAAGCCCAGAAGTTCTTCCATCTTGATACGCCAACGAATCGTCAGCGTAACTAGGTGAGTACCATGAATCAGGAATATCCGTTTGTCACAGCTTCAAGAGTCGAAATGGGAAATTGGTTCAGTTATGAATGCGATCTACAAGTCCCTAGAGTTGCCGTTTTCTACTTATCCAAGTCTGATTATATTATGACGAACTGACAGGTGGGATCATTAGCAGGTGCTCCACAACAGCTCAGGTATTACTATAATCAAGTAATGGAGCGTTCAGTAATGATGCTCAAAGTGGAAGACCTGAAATGAACATCTGCTCTAGAATTCGTCGTTTATTTGACATTAGGGTTACATGCGTAACATAAGTAGGCTTCTTTCTAAGAAAAATAATCACAAATTGCCATATGTATAGAACAATTGGAAATGATACGGAGCACATCGGTGCAGGGATGATAGCACAACATATAGGCGTATTTTATTTTTATTCAGTTCAGAATGACAAAAAACGAGAAATGTGGCAGTAAAATGGATTCTAACGTAACTCATGTTGGCCCTGCTGACACCATTGACTTGTTCCACCTAGATATGTCTGTCAGGATTATTTGTTGGATTATTCTTGGACTGACATTCTTAATCGGATTTTTCTGGAATATGTTAGTGTGGTATCCCGTGTATGCAGCACGGACGCTCCGCACGTCAATGAATGCTCTGATTGTAAATCTAGCCATCGTTGACCAGCTGGGATGCCTCGTGGGTATACCTATTTTAGCCATAATCCTAGCACCAAGAGATGTAGTACCGATACCGGATGACTTATGTGATGTTTATTTATTTGTTTTTACGCTAGGGGTAACGGTTCAATTGTTAACGTTGGTATCAATAAGTTTTGAACGTTACCAAGCCATTTCCCATCCATTTGAAAAGAAGAAAACACTAAAGCGAGTACAAGTAAGCTTGTTTGCGGTATGGATTGTTGGAATTTTAGTGGCCATGGCATCCCTCGTTAGTATGCCCGCAACGCCATTTATTCTATTCTGTAAACAAACTCCTTTCCAACTTAGTAGTTATTACAACCGTTACGTATTCTATATCATTACTCCAATTGGAATATTTTCATTAGGTGTGATCATATTCTTCTATGGGAAAATAATAGTTTTGGTAAATGCCCACGTGAAAAAAACCAACGCAACTCTGAAAAGAAAAAAGAAATCCAGAGTGTTTCCCATGGACGCTGATGATGCGATGACTGTTTCACAAGCCAATCCTACACACATTGTCGAATTCGAGAGTGCTATTCCAAAGGATTCAAATGAAGCACATGCTCAAAATGATCGCGCTGAAACGAAATTAACAAACGAATCACTGAGAGGAAAAAGTGATCCAAATATAAAACAGAGCTTAAGAACAGATATAAATGAAACGGTGAATCCAGACCAAGAGAATAGATCATCCGCCGTCAATCGTGTCAATCGTTCAATAAGGTTCTCATTTGGTGAGTCTATACAACACTCCGCTTGTGACTTAGGTGTATTGCAGAAAGATGGTTTTGGACATGAAACTAACGCTCACAATGATATTAATGACATTGCTCAAAACTCAGATGGTCAATCTCTCTCGGAGATACATAATAAAGCACATCGTCGCTCAATAGTAACACCACCCGCAAAAGGTACAACACCAATATCCATATTAAAAGGACATCAACGAGCGTTCAAATCATTCGATGCGAACCCGGGGGCACACAATTCATTAGCAATAAGCACTCAGAAAATGAGCCATCGACACTCATCACCCGCTGCCCTTTGCCAGCTCCAAAAGAGAAACAATTCAATACATATAATAAGTGAGAGTAATCACGTCCAACGACTGTCACTTAATACATCGATCAACTCCAGGGTAAAACGGATCTCAGTGATACAGAATGTATTGAGAAAATGGAAAGATACAAATAGCCAAGCAGATATTACTGATACAATCTCAGAAAACTCTCCTGAAAAGTTACCATTAGACCTCATAGCTGTTAAAATATCAGATGTTAAAAACGAAGAGAGTGAAACCAAAGGCGCTGAAGACGCACTGCATAGTGCTATCATAAATGCTGATAATAACGGCGCCTCAGGTCGATTAGTTGAGGTAGTCGGGATGGATGGTGACAAAACGATGGCAACAACAAACAGGGCCGAAATTGTTGGTGCCATTTGTGTTTTCAATCCCAAAAATAAAGAGAGGGGTAAAAGAAAGCTGGAAGCAAGCGCTGCTAAAAGAGCTTTCTTTATCATCTGCTCGTATATCTTATGCTGGTTACCGCATCCCCTAATCAACTTTATCTTTATGCAACCTACCAAGAACAATATAGGAATCGTCAATAACTTACAGATGTTAACAATTTGTTTGTTGCTGATGACGGTGGCATTAAACCCACTACTTTACGGTCTGATTAATGAACAATTTAAAAAAGAATATAGAAAAATTCTCAATAAGTTAAAATTACATTGCAGTAGTGAGAGACTGTCAGTTGAATAGAAATGATGATATGGTTTCGACATTGAATATTATTGGTTATGCGATTATGTCTGAGATAGATCAATATGAATCTATTAAAGGAATGACTGATAACATATCTGAAAGATTGGATCGTAAACCGAATATGCTCAAGTTAATGTCAATGAACCAGAATAATTCCTTTCATTAAACCGAATTCTATAAATCAGATTAACAATTTCTGAGATTTTATACGGCGATGACGTCCGTAGAACCTATAATAAAAATTATTTGTTTTCAGTAAATACGTATTTAATTACTTATACTGTTGAAAGAAGAGTGAGTTTGGAGATCACAATTACTCAAGGGGCGAGGAGGGAAATTCTCAATAAATGGAGTATAGTTGGTTTGGCAGCATTTTCAGTTAGGGGAGAGTCTTGGATGAAATTTCCACCTAGGTGATAGCTTCACAGAGTGGTAGGAAGTTCTTTTTTTTGAAGAGTTAGCCCCCTACCCCACAAAAACACCCCACCCCGGGGAAAAAAATTGTTCACACTAAATAACCTTAGATATTTTGATGTTTGTAAGTGACATACCTAGATATTATATATATGAATCATTTGCAGTATAATTGATGCTGATTACTCCTAAAAAAATTGAATATTAGTACAAAGTGTGTACCCAAGGGGGCAAATTCGTGACCCATTTCCTTACAATTTTGATCCTAACTTTTCAACTAGACACTGTAAGAGGTTGAAAAAATTCATGTGACGTGCCCAATAGCAGGGTTAGTAACCCTAAAAGATGCAAAGCCATGAAAGAAGTAGGAGCTGAGAAAAAAATTGTTGATTTTTCGAAAACTTTGACATTTTTGACCACTGGATTTTGTGTATGACTATAGCTGACCCCTATAGTTTCTAGATCCATCCCTCTATGATGATATTTATGGGTTTACAGTGTGGAACTAAGATGTAAAACATAATTTAGATGGGTTTTAAGGAAGTTAAAGGTTTTAAACAAGTCCAAAATTTGAAAAATTGTAAATATAAGGTTTCAAATTTACGAATTCCAGGTATAGCCATGGCTGACCCCTATAGTTTCTAGATCCATCCATCTTTGATGATATTTATGCTTTCATAGTCTGAAACTAAGATGTAAAACATAAATTAGATGGGTTTTAAGGAAGTTATAGGTTTTAAACAAGTCCAAAATTCGAAAAATTGTAAATGTAAGGTTTCAAATTTACGAATTCCAGCTATAGCCATGGCTGACCCCTATATTTTCTAGATCCATCCCTCTTTGATGATATTTATGGTTTTGTAGTATGGAACTAAAGATGTTTAACATAATTTAGATTGGTTTTAAGGAAGTTAATGATTTAAAACAAGTCCAAAATTTGAAAAATTGTAAATATAAAGTTTCAAATTTACGAATTTTAGGTATAGCCATGGATGACCCTTATGGCTTTTTCATCAATACTTCTATGATGAAACATATACTTTTAGAGTGTGAAACTAAGATGTAAAACATACCGAAGATGAATTTTAAGGAAGTTTAAGAATTTTAACAAGTGCAATATGAGAAATGTGAAAAATTGAAAAAGATCAGGTCTCAAAGGAGCACGGAAAGTATCGCAACAGATTTCAGACAGTCATATGTTGGGTTTTGTCGGTTTTCTGAGGATTTAAGCAGGTGCATATGATAGGCCATTGCATTACCTACGGGAAAAGAACTCTTAGAGATGATAAAATAGTTTGGAATTTGAGACAGCGAAGGTGAAAACAATCCACCCACATGTTTTTTGGGAAATGTCGTCCTGATTTTCAACCCCGTTCAGCCCTGGTTTTTCAATTTTTGTTGCATCAATATGTTGCGTTTTGAGACATAGTTAACCATTAAAAGGATAAATTTATTTTACATAAAGCGGAAAACAATATTCTCCTGTTATTTTCCCATAGGGAAAACTCATGTGATCCATTGCTTTCAGCTTAATTTTGGTCACCCATATTTGATATCTTTAAAATCCCTGATGGAATGTATTTTTCATTTAAATGGGTTAACTGTATGTAAAAACACATATATTTATACATATACACATATATATTTATGCATGTGGGTGGGTTGTTTGCACCTTCCCTGTCTCAATTATTTTATCATCTCTATGGGTGCTTTTCCTGGAGGAAATGCATTGGCCTAACATATGCACCTCCTCAAATCCTCAGAAAATAGCCAAAATCCAACATATGATTGCTGAAATCTGTTGCGATACTTTCAGTCCTCCTTTACGATTTCAGGTATAGCCCGGGATGTCCCTCTTTTTGAATGTATGACTTAGCTTAGAAATTAGATGTTGAAAATATTGTGGTCAGGTTTGATCCATGTTACATGTATTGTTAAAAGAAAAATCATTAGAGTTGAGGACTTAACCCTTGAGTTCCTAAGGGGTTGAGAGGTTAATAAATCCCCCAGTAAGTGTAACTGCTCCTAGGGATATCGTATACAGTGTAGTAATTGATTGATCAAATGGATTATAACTAATTAATTATTATTTGATGATATTTATTATGTGATATAGCATTTTTACTTTTTCACATCAACATGTTCGATGTAATGTTCTGCATTATCAAAATACATAAAGACATGGTTAACTAAAAGAAACATGTTTTCTCTATATTTTGTTATGCCCCTTCTGTAATTAAGCAATGATCATCTCCTAATACAAAATGTTTTTATGAATTATCAAATTATAATCACTACACTCCCAATAAAACAATTTGTCATCAGGCAACAGTAATTATTTGGGAAAATAAGGATTATAAGGATCATACCCCCCCCCGGGCCTAGAAACTTCCGTTAGTTCAATGATATAAGGAACTCTAGGGTAAAAGGGTCTTGTCACATTAAAATCTTCATGTAGATCAAAAACGTATATATGGTGATATGATCAATATGTTTCAAACAAACAGACATTGTAGAAAATGTTTACATACTGACTTTGCAGATGACATTTTCTAGCATAGTTAAAGAATTTTTTTCATTTATTGAAATGATAGTCATAAAATTATAATATCAGAGTCATTTGATGCAAATTACTGCAGTCCCACATGTTCTGCTGAATGTAAAACAGAGTGAATAATTTTAAAATCAGCCTCTTCAGGAGTGGAATTTAACAGGAGATTTCAGTTATCATTTTCACAGATATTTGAGTTCTCTCCAATAGTACCACTTAAAACAATCTTGACATTTTGGCACACTTTTAGAATACTGCTTTATTGAATTTCTTTGTAATCTTTGAAAATTTGTCTTATATTACTTGGACAAAGGTATTCATATTTTTAGTAATGGTGTAATTTCTTCTATGGATTAAAGTTCAATAGGGGAAGCATCCATTCTTCGCATTCTTTCAGAATCCTTTACTGATGGAGACAACTAGCTAGGAGTCTAATATGAAATCTATTCTTTGGGGTCCTTTACTAGATTTGATGGAGTAGTCAAATATAGCTTTCCAAAACTCTCCAAATTTCAACATATAAGTTAATCTTCATTTTCCCTTTGTCATTGCCATTGCATCAATCACGAAAGTTTTATCAATTTGTGGTATGGTTTCATCGATCTCCATTTCAAACCCCTTTTTAAGTTCTGATTTTACAGGATAAGATAGATGATCATTGTCAAACGAACTGTTTGTATCCATATAAGATCATAGTTTACTCACACATTTCTAGGCAAGGTGTGTCCAATTCCAGCCAATTCAATATTCCATATAACTGCATTCCAATTTACTACTCTCATAAACCCAAGGTCAATTTTAGATTCTAGAGAAACTAATGAAACTAATGATCATAGGGAATAGCATGCCAAGTGCTTGTATTTGAATTTATGTGGATTACTCATTTGGTAGACACCTTTATCAAATGTTAAAGTGTTGTTGATTTTCAAGTTGTACAAGCACAGTGTCATGGGTGCTTTCTTTTCCTGACATAGTATAACATTGTGGAAAAAAAATTATCAAAGGCACCTAGTACAGTAGTTCTAGTTCATCATCTTGTATAAATGATATATCAGCAGTGAAACCTGTATATCCCAACATCTGACTATTGTGAACACCTACCAATCATCCCAACACCTGACTTATCTGAAAACCAACCAATCTGAACACTTTTACCCAGTTCAATTTTTCCTTCCTCCCATTGACTCCTATGTTTAAAAATTGAAATCTGAACACATCTTAATTCGAACAGTGAACACTCATATTTGAAAAATCAACCTGTTTAACTTGAACTTTTTTTTTAACAAATATCACATATTTCTTACAAAATTGCTCAAATATTGTCAGTTTAACACTGAACTGTTATGATATCAAAACTTTTGAATTGGATTTTGGAATGCTATTAAGCTTTTTGGATGGTCAGTATAAATATTATTAATATTTATTAATATTTTTCATTGAGAATGCATTCATATTTCTTCAAAATCCAGAATATTGCAGATGTAAAAACCTCAAAATTCAAACACTTCTAATTTGAACGCTTTATCTGGTCCAAATACTATATCTAGTAGCATTCAGATTAGAAAGAATTAACTGTAGTTCATGACTTTTCACTCCATCTATATGCAGCAGACTAACTGCTGCAACGGGTATATATTCTACACCTGGTCTCTAAGCTATGATATCACAGTTGTTACTATTGTGCTCATAACCTTCGATTATCAGGGCTCATTCAAGGCTGTACCTGAATAACGTGAATTTGAGACCAATTTTCGAAATCAATTTTTCAAATTTTGCACTTGTTTAAAACCTTGAACTTCCTTCAAACTCATCTTATGCATCTTTTACATTTTAGTTAAATACTCTAAAAATATATATCTCATCACTGAGGTATAGATGTAAAAAAAAACATAAGGGTCATCTTTGGCTATACCTGAAATTCATAAATTTGAAAACTTACATTTACAATTCTTCAAATTTTTGACTTGTTTAAAACCTTAAACATTCTTAAAATTCATTTTGGGTATGTTCAATCTTAGTCCCACACTCTAAAACTGTATATTTAATCATAGAGGTATGGATGTAAAAACCATAAGGGTCAGCCATGGCTATACCTGAAATTCGTAAATTTGAAACCTTATATTTACAAATTTTCAAATTTTGAACTTGTTTAAAACCTTAAACTTCCTTAAAACCCATCTAAATTGTGTTTTACATATTAGTTCCATACAGCAATACCATAAGTATCACCATAGAGGGATGGATCTAGAAACTATAGGGGTCTGCCATGGCTCTACCTGGAATTCGTAAATTTGAAACCTTATATTTACAATTTTTCAAATTTTGGACTTGTTTAAAACCTTAAACTTCCTTAAAACCCATCTTAATTATGTTTTACATCTTAGTTCCACACTATAAAACCATATATATCATCATAGAGGGATGGATCCAGGAACTATAGGGGTCAGCTATAGTCATACACAAAATCCAGCTGTCAAAAATGTCAAATTTTTCGAAAAATCAACAATTTTTTTCTCAGCTCCTACCTCTTCCATGGCTTTGCATCTTTCAGGGTTACTAACCCTGCTATTGGGCACTTCACATGAATTTTTTCAACCTCTTACAGTGTCTAGTTGAAAAGTTAGGATCAAAATTGTAAGGAAATGGGTCACGAATTTGCCCCCTTGGGTACACACTTTGTACTAATATTCAATTTTTTTAGGAGTAATCAGCATCAATTATACTGCAAATGATTCATATATATAATATCTAGGTATGTCACTTACAAACATCAAAATATCTAAGGTTATTTAGTGTGAACAATTTTTTTCCCCGGGGTGGGGTGTTTTTGTGGGGTAGGGGGCTAACTCTTCAAAAAAAAGAACTTCCTACCACTCTGTGAAGCTATCACCTAGGTGGAAATTTCATCCAAGACTCTCCCCTAACTGAAAATGCTGCCAAACCAACTATACTCCATTTATTGAGAATTTCCCTCCTCGCCCCTAGAGTAAATGTAAACATGGGCAAATATTTTTATTCGACCATCATCAACTAGTCATATTATAATGTGTCTAAATTGTGAATTGGAAGAGAACTTATTTGCTAAATGATGATAGGTTTGTCAAAAATTTTCTAAAGATTTTGTGATAGTTCATATTTTTGTACCGTCGCAAAATTAAGTAAAGTTATATTTTCACATAAAATCACAGCATAGTTTCCAATCTCTAGATTTATAAGCAGGGAGTAAAACTGTTAGAGTTAACAAAAGTTAGATTTGTCTAATCGAGTATAATTATGTTCAAAATTTCATTTTAATGGCCCTATTTCGAAACCCTGCGTGCAGAGTCTAGTTAAACTACAAGACGAAGACGAAGCTCTCTTTTAAGAAGTGAAGTCGAACGAATGCAAAGGGTACTAATTCGAGTCAAAATCCTTCTTAGTCCTGAGTTATCCCAAAATAGATTTCATAATGATATGCAAAAGTTCACAATCAATCCACTTAAACCGTACTCATTGAAATCTAAAAAAGTTGTCCATGTAGAAAATGATTCAATTAAGTGTAGATGCTTTAACATTCTTGTTCTCCTTTCTATATCTTGAATAATCAGATTCTCGAGAATCCCAGGTGAGTATCCATTTGAGGTAATCTTACCCATTAAGCAGTTTTAGCTTCAATGATGATTTTTTTTTACCAAAAAATGAAATCTAGTTTTTTGCGGCTAATATGAACTCGGATTACAGCGCATACAGTGTATCAATCGACCGCGCTAATTTTTTCCAACAAGTAAATACGATATGTTTAATGATCAGCTCCCAAAAGCATGAAAAGGGCGATGTTACACATTGTTATCTATGCGATGATTATTCCGATTCCGATATACACTCCCCTCCATAAGTTTGGCAACCTTTTTTCCCCATTGAACTATGTGTTAAAGCCTCTTTACGTTTGAATTTTTATTTACTTAACCGGCGATGAAATAACGTATAATATTAATGGAAACGTAACTTGACTTTATTTCCAATACCTCCAAATTTTCTCAACTTTTTTCCTCAATTACAATAGGTCGAAAATTGAGGATAAATTTGATGAATTTTTGAAAATCGTCATTCCCATGTAATCCAATGGGAAATGGAGGGTTCGGGGCAAATCAGAAATCAGAATATCTTTTCAGTAAAAGATTCAGCAAAAAATATTTTTATATAGAAAATTGAATTGTCTAACTTTTTTGAACACTAAGTGTTTAGTTTATTTGATGAATATTAAAGTTACAGCGCTTCAAAGTCATTTTTGAAAATAATTTTTCGCCTCGTGTGTTATTTCAATGGGAGAGGTTTTTTGAAAAACAATTTTGACTTTAAAGCCCTATAACTTTGTTGAACCTGAAGAAACATATCAATTTTTTGTTAAATAAAGTTAGCAAATTCAATTGCCTGCCTAACTCGTATTTTTGCAAGGACTCGGATGGATGGATATTCTGTCATATGACTTGCGGCAAACCTACCATTTCCCATTGGTTAACATGGGAATGTCGATTTTCAAAAATTCATCAAATTTATCATCAATTTTCGACCCATTGTAACAGAGGAAAAAAAATGAGAAAATTTGGAGGTCTTGGAATTAAAGTCAAATTACGTTTCCATCAATAGTATAAGTATTTTCATCGCAGGTTAAGTAAATAAAAATTCAAAGGTAAAGAGGCTTTAACACGTAGTTCAATGGGGGAAAAAAGGTTGCCAAACTTATGGAGGGGAGTGTATACCCATTTCTCGATGTTTTACATGAATACCAAAAAATAATCAATCACAATATCCCATAAAGGCAGGCAGGTAAATTATACATATAATGGGACCTTTGTTTTAAAAACACACGTCAATGAGCTCCGATTCAATTAGTCTGTGAATACCTCGAATACCTCTTCTCATTGCGCCATTGCCATCGATTGCTTTTGATACCATATAACTTTACTTTCTTTAGGCGTTTGGTGAGTTACTATACTCATTAGTGACTTTAGGAATGAGGCTCTGCTTACACAGTGTCAACTGATTTTTTCTTTCTTTGTTAATCGGGGTTATAAAGGATAGTATACGTCAACCACGTTGATTAAAATAGAGGATAAGTACATACTTATTGACCTAATCATGCTAATAACGGCATTGACTCAGACGTGATTAGAGGCATGGACGGTAATTCATTTTCGTTTCCACAAAATTGGAAATACCAACCTCATGCCAATATAAATTAGTATAATGTATAGGGTCACATCTGTTATCACCGCGACGTCCTGTTGCAATAAGTTCGTTTTTCTTGATCATTTTTCATGGGGTTCATGTTGACTTTCACTATGTACATTATTTTATCAAAATTACATCTTTAAGAAAAGCTATCTAGCTGTAATATTTTACTTGACAATACTTTCGCAGGAATTGCTGATTCTCGGATATCACCAATGGGTTTGCATGCTCTCCCGGGATGCCAACATGCAAAGTGATCGACGATCTATTTCTAAATTGGCATTAATCATGATCAACTTTCTATTATTTTCTGATAAATAGATCGGTAGCCTAAATGTCAAAATTCAGCATGAGTACTAGTCAGGTTGCCCCGGGCAGGTTGCCCAGTCAAATAGACCCTTAATCTGATTTTAGACATTTAACCTTAACCTCATCCCGTTTTCACGAATTTTTACAACAGGGGATCGTTCATACTTTTGAGACCTACCTCTCAGTTCAAAGACTGGATTGGTCTCATAGAACCATGAGAACCATGAGAGCATAAGGGTAGAGTTTTCAATATTATCACTTCTTATCGTGGAACGATAAGGCATTAGACATTTTAAAATTCCCGCGGCATCCTACATTTTAAAAGTCAAATTAGGCAAGATCCCGGGAATCTGTAGTAAATGTTCTTCTTTAGATTGACAAGGTTCGTCCAGTGTAGAATTCAGTCTTGCTACAGCGAGTACGATGTTCTTGAAGAGACACCTGGAAAGTTTGATGAGTTTATAAGTTTCTGATTTCAATTTTATCTTAATTTTTATCTTGGCGAATTAGTCAGACAAGCTATCATATTATTATTGTTATAAAGCGATCATTCTTAGATGCGGAATTGCGGTATGGACTTGCCAGTCTGTCTACCCCCAATCTCAACGGTAAATAGACTTTTGTGTGGAAAATCACGAGGCGAAGGTGGAAGTCAACATTCAGGTACACATATTTTATTGTTGAATTTTCTGTTAAGATTTGTGAATTGAAAGGTTAAATTCTTGCAATATGATGGAACAGAAGCAAGCTGTACATGTATAGTGGGGATCATAAAGAATTGCAAAAGCTATGAAAATTACATGCTGTTGCACATGTAATAAATTCTTACCTCAGTGTATTCAGTGCTCTATTTTCTCAGTCTGAGTAAGTCCAAATATAGTGGAATTTGTGTCCCTAATGACAAATAAGAACTCCAAAAGTTGAAGTGGATATTCACATGTTATGCCGACTCTTCAAATGTTGAGGTGATTTTGTCGCCCGATTGCGCTGGAACGGAGGATTGGCTCCCAGAGTGCAACATGGCACGTGCCAGCTTTCAAAATGCTGTTCCGCCATTTTGAAACCTGTCATGAGTAAATACGGTAACTGATGTTGCATTCTGGGAGTCAACCGTCCTTGGATAACAAACATGGCGATTCATGAAAACATTCATTCGATTTGGTAGGGATTTATCCATTATTTGCAGGTATGAAGCTTTGGATTCATTTATTGTGCTACTTTAGTGAACGGGAATTATTTTTCTACCGCTTGGGAGAGTTTGAGACACGAAACTTGGAAATTAGCTCATTGTGACAACTTGTGAACGTTGAGTTTTATTTTTGTCCCCCACTTTAGTTCATGGACGGTAAATTATCGAAGGCCGCGGGAGGTCAAGATTATATAAAATCTTTATATGGGCCTGTATGGGTTATAATGGGATCAGCACTAATGCACTTTGTTTCCTCATACTGATGTGTCACGTCCACTACGCCCTGAATTTCAGTGATCGTGAAGAACCGTGGAATACCTTTATTATTTTTAAAAGCAAACAATTTTTGGTATGAGCCTTACACCAAGGATGTAGACATCCTTGGTCTATGATACTCAATTTTTTATACATGTTCCTGTACCCAACGTAAAATAGATCTCCAGGACAGACATAATTCCAAATGGAGATGTTGATAATACATCTTGGGAGAGGGCAATTAAGGGCTTCTATACTTTGCGTGAAAAAATTGTACCTAATTTCTGCCGATATTCACAATAACTGGCATCCTAAATCCCCGGGAATCTTCTCCCGACATCGACAGAAAAAATGCTCACGTACCTTTTAATGATTTCCTGGTGATATTTTCATTGGATTCCAGCCCAGTTTCCACCTAACGTTCTATCCAACATTCTGCTTCGTATATACCCTGCTCGTAGATTTGAGGTGTTTTAGTCTTCGATTATTTTTGATTTTTCTTCGTCATTGGACCAGGCTAGCTGCAAGAGTCGCCGGTAATAGACCGTCGACGGCGGTCATATCGTGTACCATGCATACAGTTATATCAGACAACCGTGGTTATACTGTAAACATGCTGACATGCGGTCTTACCTAATCTCAGCTGCAGTAAGAATCTTAAATGGTGGAGATTCAGAAATGTTTTAAGAAACAAAATGCGGGACGTCCATCCTTTCAATTGCTTATTCAGAAGTCTATTTGCAAGTCTGATTGGTGGTATTCGTATATGTCGACAAGTGCATACATTTTAAGAAAATAGGTATGGCGAAGAAGAAGACATTAGGCCAAACGTTGCACTAATAGCTCGGTAAAGGTAAAAAAAATTATTCCCAAATTTTTTCTATGGTCTTTATTGAACCTTTAAATAGAAATAATAAAGATGTACAAATAAGATTAAACACTTGAAATGAAGAGGATATATGCAATAAATACCAGGTCGTTCAATAAGTTCATGCAAAAACATTTTCATTTTTTAAAATTTTTTTAATGTTTTTCCTTGAAACTTTCACAAATCATAGAAAAAATACCTACTCATTGAAAAACAAAAAATAAGTTACAGGAAATTGAAGGAACTTAAATTTGAAAAGACAATATTATAGAGTGCATCTAATAAATCACAAGTATTCAATTAAAATTAAACTTTTTTTCACTTTATAAATTGCCCCTCGCGACCAAAACACGGGTTACCATAGCAACCATAACTTTTGACCAATCAGAACAAAGTAATTTATTTTTTGTTTTTCAATGAGTATGTTTCTTTTCTATGATTTGTGAAAGTTTCAAGAAAAAACCTTTGAAAAATAAAAAAATGATAATGTTTTGCATGGACTTATTGAACAACCTGGTATTTATTTTGCATATATCCTCTTCATTTCAAGTGTTTAATCTTGTAATATGTAAGTATTGTAATTATTCACATAAAGTATACAAGTGGTTACAGTACCATGGTTCAGGATAACATATTTCATTTTGAAAAAGAATTAATAAAAGATTGAAAGGTCAGCTGAAATGAATTCATAATAAGGATATTGTTGGAAGGCCAATATCATATTTATAGGTCATGTTCAATTGAAATGTCAATAGTTGATATGGGTCTTATAATATATACTCCTCAAAAACGTTAAGAACCAGTGTTTTTCCTCATAGGTTTACATGTTAAACCCCATGTATGTTTGAACTAAGCCTGAAACATAAGAAAAATTGATAATGTAAATGGATATGTACCTTGACTTTATTCTCTTTATTTCAAAAAATTTCAGTTTATTCTCTCCCTTACAACAGGCTAAAAATTGGTAGATCCAATGTAAACCAATGGAAAATGGTTGGGTTGCCAAAAATCATATGAAAAAATATCCATAGATTGCTCTCAAAAACGGAATTTAAATAGACAATTGAATTTGCTGACTTGTCTACAGCAAAAAATTGATTTGTTTTTCAGGGTTTTACAGAGTTATGAGTCCCCAAAGTCAAACTTATTTTACAATCAACCTCTCATTGAAATAACACAGGTGTCAACAATGAGTTCCCAAAAATTCTTTGATGCTCTGTATGGCTAATTCTCACAAAATAAGTTTAATACTAAGCATGCAGAAAGTGAAACAATTCAATTGTCTATTTGGAAATCATTTTTGATAAATCTTTTACTGAATAGATATCCAAAAATCTGACCCCTAACTCACCTTTCCCATTGGTTAACATGCGTTCTCCCATTGTTTTTAATTCATCAAATTTGTCATCAATTTTAAACCTGTTGTAACAGAGAGATTAAATTGAAATTTTCCTGAAATATAGAGAATAGAGTCAAGGTACATATCCAATTACCTCATCAGGTTTTCTTTCCTTTCAGACTTAGAAATTAAAAAGTTCAAACATACATGGGGTTTAACATGTAAATCTATGAGGAAAAAGACTAGTCCTTTTGAGGTGTATATATTAGTATGTTGTACTCTCTTGACAGGAGTCTAGTTTGTAGGTCAAGGGATCTAAAACAGACCAAGGTTAAAATATAAGATAAAGTTGATAAAAAGTTCTGTGGAACACTAAACCGGATTCATGGGCATAGACTATGTCCAGGGGACTATAGGCCTCTGTACTTATGTGAATGCATGTTTTACCTTTATTAATCATTGCATATCAAACTTTGTATTGTTTTAGTTGAAATTCATTGTTGAAGTTTATATATTGGATCTATTTTAACTGTTGTTCAAATAGATGTGAATTGTGATACTGAAACTTTTGCTCTTTAGTTTTGTTTTTTTCAATGGCAGAAAATCAATAAATTGAACCATTGTAATGTCAGCCTTATGGCTAGATTTTATAACCATTGAGTTATGTTTCATTTTCGGATACTAACTGTTAATCATACATAACTGTTTTAAATTTATAAATTTATTTATTGTATTACCATCTTCAGAAAATGGTGATGCACTTCTTGCTTCGAAGCTTCCCATTCACACATTGGCCATTTGGTCTTACAAATGGCCATGTATTATTGTATTTTACGATAATAATATTGCTGTTATCATGTATACTAAATATACTTTTTCCAACTGAGCTCACCCAAAGTGTTAAGCCTCAAAATGGCGGATGGGCACTTGCAGACAAGGATACTGTAAAATACACATATACTACGAAATGCGATATCGAAAAAATATCCATAAATGATTTAACGGAAAGTGAATTTGAAAAGAAGTATCGATTTCAAAAACCCATTATCATACAGTTTCCAAATGGCACTGATGATTGGACGAATACTGCCTACTGGACAAAAGAAAATATACAGAAAAAATATGGAAATGTTGACATACTAGCAGGTAAATCTGAAGATATTGTTAGATTTAGTGGGAGTGGAGATATTCTTGCAAAGTTTGGTGACTTTTTAAGTGACTTAATGGACAAACCTGATGATTCTGGAGAACCATTGTAAGTATATCATTTCTTTGTTCTGAAAATGTAATTTTATGCAGTAACAGGGCTTCATCCTGAAAAAAATACTGAACACTTTTTTAATCCAAACACCTCTCGATGTGAACACTTTTTCTCAGTTTCAATTTTGTTGTCTCCTACCCTTTGCATTCGTTCGACTTCACTTCTTAAAAGAGAGACTCTGCGCGCAGGGTAGTTGTCTCGCATACACTCACATATTAGGAATAGCTAAAAATGCAAACACTTGCCAATCTGATCACTTTTGTCTGGTCCCAGTGGTGTTTGGATTAGACAGGTTTTACTTAACCTTATTTAAGAGCTAGGCCAATGTGGTGGAACATGTTTATCAGATTTATAACTGTGTGTTTCACACTAGTGATTGATTATGTCATTGACAGATAGAGCTTTTACCTGTTTCTAAATAGAATCTTGCTCAGTTACAAATTGATTTAATCATCAATCAAGAGTTTCCTTTGTATTAGATAGAGCACAATAATGAATATGAATAATTGATAGTGTTTTCTACTGTTATGAAGTGTAAGTTAACTGCCTTTCACTTAATGACTGTGCCACAGGTGATGACAATGAATAAATGTACATGAAGTACTATCCTCATTATTGTCTCCCTTAGCTTGACCCAAATAATGGAAATTTGATCAACACAACTTTGGCAAGATAAGTCTTAATTTTTGCAGCTTTTGATTGTCAACTTTTTGAATTTTCTGACCAAATGCCTATACTTTCAATATTGTATCTTTCATTTGAGAAAAATGAATCTATTTGTAGAGAAAAGTGTCCCAGAAATCCTATGATATGCATATTTTGCCCAACCTTCCTTTAAATCATTCATTTGAGCCTCAACACGTGACAGGAAAACAGATATGGTCTATATCTGTAAAGAAAAATTGTTAAGACATTTAAGCCATGGCTCATTTGAAAGGACTCATTGTGTTTTTAATATAAACAAAAAATCAAAATATTGAAAAAATCTGTGATAAGAGCATTTTTTCAATGTTGTGGCTCATTTATTAAATGAATATCTTTTCTATTCACTTTTATTTTAGGTACTTGTTTGATAGGAATTTCTACAAGCTATCTGACCTACCAGAAACAGTCAACCCTCCAAAATTTCTGGAAGTAAAGGTTGGTAATCCATTACTGTATTGTTATGTATGAAAACTGTCATAGTGAGAATTTTACAAAAGAATAGCAGTGAGACAAATCCTTTCTGTAAATGAGGCAAAAAATAAATGACATTTGCTCTATAGCTAGGTTATGGCAGCTACACTGTATAGTCCTCCAAAATAAAAAGACATCCTCGGCAGCCACGAACCACTGCATAGCTTCTATTAATAACATTTTATAACAATTAATCAATTAATATGTTAATACAATTGCTCAAGTAGTGTGGCAATATATTTTTAAAATAACCAAAGATATATAGATACAATGACAACTTAGATGAGGTCTTGGGTGTCTTAGAAACGCAGTATACCCTTTGAAATATTGTTGTAACTGGTTTAATTTGGCACACCTTTTTATGCCTTTTTATCATGGCAATGCAGTACATAACCTTTTATATCACCATAAATGAAAGGTCTTAGATACCATAACAAAGCAGTTTACCGTTTTGAATTATATAAATTGCTTTTATTTGACCCCCTTTTAAGGTCTTAAGTTTCATGACAATGGAGTATGTCATATGCTTTTGAAATACCGTACATAAAAATGATGAATTTGCAATGATTAGATAATACATCAAAACTGTTTGAGATTAAATTATCTCACTGAACAAATTTCTTAGGGATATAGAGAAGTTGTCTGTCCATTTGTCTGTCTCTCCATTCATCTGTCAGATATCCGTCTACTGGTATATGAACTCAAATACCAGCAGATGAATTTGATTCAGATTTTATATGCTGAGGCCTATGGACATAGAAGCTTTGGGCCACTGAATTTCAAAGTGGCTGCTAATTTTCGTAAAAAAAAGTATCAGTCCATGTTCACAGGAAATGAACATCTATTAGCATCCTCAAATTAAACCAGATCAGGCCAGTATCGCCATTTTGACATATCAGTAAACCTCTCTACATCACATGTTTGATGCTGATTCTCAGAAGACTAAACCTGACCAAAAAAGTGCATTTTCTATTTGTTGATGGTCATTACAAACTTAAATGTGCAATAAAACTACAGCAATTCAGCGCCGAAGAGCTTGGATTGAGCACATTACAAACTATTGGCCTGTGCTCTCTTTACGGAGGTATATCAAAATAAAACTTAACCACACAAAACTTACATGTCTGTAGGACTATGAAATAATTGGGAAATTTTCCTGTTGTTAGAAATTACTATGTTGTCAAAAATGTAAATGATTTTTTGGACCACCCTGTATAAAACCATAATCTTTGATAACTTAAATACGAGTGGAATTTTATATGCTGATACCTAGGGACAAATGAGCACTGTTGAAAAATAAATTTTCAAGATAACCGCTATTTATCAAAACATGTTTTTGTGGGATTTGCTACTCTGGAATTGCTGTTTTCTAGTTAATTTTCTTTATGTCCTTTATAACCTCTACAGCATGATAACTTATTTTGTTTTCTGGTATGGTCATCTACTCTATAGAAACCCCATTGTATGTTAGTTGTCATAATCCTTTCTGAATTCATTTGTGCCTGATTTGATTTGGGGTCATTTTAGTAATATGTCATGGTTTTGGCCTGTTATTGATAAATGACTTAGCATTGTACACAAATTTTTGTATGGGTTCATTTCTAACTTTATTTTTTATATATTAGAGTATGGCTATTTGACCATGTATTGATTGAAGGTTTGGTATGGCATCGTACATTGCTTGTGGAATTAGAAGTATTTGGTGTTGAAAATGAAATTGTCTGTCTAGCCATACCTTTGGTGAGTGGGAGGGTAAGTCAACTAAAATCATCAATGAAATTATTAACACAGGCAAGGAAAAAATTAATAAAGAGGAAGAGTCTTGGAGGAAGTCAATGTAGGAGTCATAACCGCATCAGGAGATGCTTTAGGGTAACATGACAGTAGGTGTCATCTTGAATGAAAATTTCTCGGAAAAGTTATTTAGGTAGATGCATCTCCTACACCACCAGCCCTGGGAGTCTTGGAACCTAGCCAATATATGAACATAAATCTATTAAATGGAAGATGTGCGTAAAGTACTTACATATTATTTTGAAAAAGATTTGATCAGTAAGAAATGTTTAACTGACTTGAAACATTGAACAATGAAATTGCTAATTTTGAATGGGTGAATTATGAAGAGGATTGTGTGGGAGGTTAAGAGATCAATTATTTTTATAATCCACCTATGGCTATTATATATTTAAAATGTAATACTTCTTTACATTTAATATCTCTACAGTTTATTCTCTAGTAATGAATAGCGGTGTCCTTGAACTGTTTAACAAAGTGAAATTAACACCAAGGGGAAGTGTCAAAAAGAAAATGAGGCAAAATATTCATTAGGCAAATTTGAAAAATGATAAATTAATAAAAAAGTGAGGAGGAAAAAACTCAATTGGAGGAGAGGGAGATCCAATGACACTTGCAGCAATCCCCTGGTAAAACGCATGTTTACACTGTGACAGTATATATAGATGCACAAAGAAGGCAAGCTAGGGAACTAGCCAAAAGTGTAGAGAAAAAATGATGTTTTGGACCAATAGTGAGATTTTATTCATTTTGACTATTTCAAGATCTTTGCTGTTCCACTGTTCAATGTAAGACATAATCCATTCTTGATGTATGAGATTGGATGTTTACACATACTGCATTGTTTTATTGCTTGCTTCTAGAGACAGGATTTCTTAGGAATATGCAGAATATGCTTACAATCTTGTCATGTCCCTGACGATGTTTACATATTATGGAAAGAAGTATGAGTAATGGTTTCCATGTTTCTGTGACTATGAGCACTTCGCAAGTCTTGATATTTAGTATGAAGTTCCGTCGATAGTGTTAGTTACTACCTTGTGCGCAGAGTCTTGTAAACTACCCTCTGCCATCAGAGAATATGACTGTGTTTAGAAAGCGGTCCGTAGTTTGACAACAAAATCTGATTACCTTGATCAGTTCAAAGATTTATTGAAAACTGAAAGAGTGAAGACGAAGCTCTCTTTTGAGAAGTGAAGTTGAACGAATGCAAAGGGTAGTTAGTTACAAGTGCCTCAATATTTTTTTAATTATATTATTGAGAGGTTGATTTAAAAATATCTTAAAGGCAGAATGAGATACATGTATATGACTGATGACATCTCTTGACAAAAATTGTTTCAATTTTGTGTTCATATGATTCCTTGTTTTCTAAAAATACCCAAAGTTAAGTGTATGCTGTATTTGAGGAAAACAAAAGATTTTTACAATAATGCACGCATCGTGTATTATTTTTCTAATTTTATGCTCACTATTTTTATTATTCTGGAGAATTTAAACATTTTTTTCCCCATTTTGGCACTTTGAATCCTTGATAACTTCACCAATTTCTAACATATCATGGATCTTTTGGGAGATATCATATTTGAGATAGTAAGAAATATATTTATATGTCAACTGTACATGTTGCTTTCAATTTTGCCACTCCCTATTGATCTGATTCTCCCTTTAAACATGCATACGCTTAAACATGTAATATTAAAGAAAGTTGCTACGGATAGCTTGCAGGGATTTAACCTAACCCCTTTATATTTTCCTGCTTAATTTCTTTGCCTTCTTATTCATTGCTCATGATGATACACACACCTTTCTGTGTTACAAAACATAGCAAGGACATTCTATGGTTTATGATGTTTATTTTTGGCCTTTGATCTTCTCATAAGCTCATTAAGAGGCTTAATAAAGGACTGATCTGTGTAATTAATAAGCTTGCATACTGAGGTCATACACAAACAGGTCCAAAATATTATACTATTTCCATAAAAACTTCAATCAGACTTGATTTACGGCAACTATATGGCGGCTGTATAGTAGCTTCCCCAACTCGAGAGAAATAATTTATGCAGCATAAAATATAGGGATGTGAAGTAGATTTTCTATACCGATTTTGTGAAGCTACGACTGCCATACCCCTCTTATAGAGCAAATATGTGATTGAGGTGTTACAACCTCCGATCACAGGGCTTCAAAATCCAGAATATATTCTTTCTTTTTACCCCCTGCGATAAGCAGTTAGCATTTCCCCGATTAAGAACTCGCAATCTGATTGGCTTATTTTCTGCTATGGGTGGAAAAGTCATCTATCATATATTACTAATCAATGGATCATTCAAATTCCAAGAGGATGATACATGCAAGATGAACAAATTATATATCCCACTACACCCTATGATTGATGTACAAGAGGTAGTGGTTAATCAACCATGAATAGTACTTGTAGTTTGATGATTATCGATATGTATGTAGGTGATAATACCATGATCACCATGACATAACGTTTAAAAGCACTGTGATAGCTATATGATGTACAACCTTTTGCCATACCCCTTTACTATAATTTCTGATCATACAATTTGTTTTTGTAATATATTAGTATTGGCATGAACATGTTTTGTTCTTATGGCTTGTGATATCAGATATTTGTCAAATCATTCTGTATAAAAAGGATGAATCTCATTACCATTACAATCTGTTTTTAATATGTACTATTATAGCTTAGATTATATTTTGTTGATGGAAAGGAATAAAATGAACAGTGAATCTTCTTGTAACCACATTGGTTTTATTTGATTTTTAATACTAAGAGTTTTATCACCTGATAATTTGATAATAATTGTCAATGATCAAATTGCATTAATAACAACCATGATAATTTGTTTTCAATAGAGAATTTTCATTATACGTACATAATTGACCCCCTTATACGATTTCTTATACTCATACGTATAGGTTTCATTTGTGCTCTCTATTCACAAGCCTTTAAGTTTTTATGGATAGAACAGCGCTTATATGTAAGTAGTTTACTTATCCCTTTTTCATCGTCTTATACTTGGCCTTTTTTACACGCAGTGACATGCTATTACTATAGAACTTGATCGTTCATAATGCTAATGCTCGTCTAATGTGATTTAATCAGAATACACATCCACGAGTACAATAAAGTGTGCTGGTATTTTTACAAAAAATATTTGTACATTGGTTATCATAAGCCATTAAAATTGTATTCCCAGAGTAATGAAAATAAAAATTTCATATAGATATGTCAATGGAGAACATTTTGGCATATACATGTATTTCCCGTACCAACCAAAATAATGTCCAAAAGCCATACCAAATGTCCAAATATAGGACCAATGCCATACCAAATGTCCAGATATAGGACCAATGCCATACCAAATGTCCAAAGTAGAAAAAGCTAATATTCAAACTGTAGAAGGTCCTGAGAAGAAGGCAGATCTATGAAGAAAATGATCCAAAACAACCTCAAATTAAGGATATGTGTAACTACTTGACCAATACCATACCACAAATGGAGGTAACATAGTTTCCACTAACATACTTCCTCCAAAACTCTAAGTTCGTGAAAAAATATCAGAGAAGAAATGCATTCACAATTAAACCTTTCATTAGAGTTAACACGTGAAACTAGCCTTGAAAATCAGTTGCCCATACCCCTGGGTCAATATGTTACTAAGATTCACGTGACTTTAAGGGGTATATATGGCAAAGATGGGTGGGTATTTGTGAGAATGATTGACATTGGCACCATGCATAAGAAATACGAACAGCTTGTTGTATTTTTGTAAAATCTATTTTAGTGGTCCACTTAATGAACAAATCGGTAAATAAAATGCTCTATCGACATACAATGAAAGGAAAATATCACAAACAAATGAACAAACAAATAATTTACATAATCCATCCTGCATAAACCTATTCAAACTTGTACACATAATCTAAGAAATCTTACAACTTATTTTAACTTCTGGTGTACTTCCAGTTTTAGAGCGAATATTTGGGGCCGGATGGGGATTTGCTGGCCGAATTTTCAATATCAGAATTTACTATTCATTTCAGTCCTAATAGTCAATGAAAAGTAGAGAAAAAGTTAATGGGGTATTTTCATAAATCTCTGGTAAATTTTGGTGTTTTAGTGATGTTTTGAAAACCATTTGCAATACAAAGAATCATCCTTTTAATGATGGTGTTAATACATAAACATCAAAATATAAGAATTAAGGGAACTTTGATTATATAGAATGATGAAAATGGCCTATTGGCCTTGTAACATGAATAAGGTTTTTGGCACTTTGACTCATTATTCAACACTTTCAAGATATCCTTGTGTTCAATCTTGCTATGTTGATCAAGTTTCATGTCTGCAATTGCCAATTATGTGTTTACTGTTATATGATGTTGTTATTGTCATTTCATTTTTATTATACAATTTTGAACTGTATAATAGATTGTTATCATGCATTGTTAATCAATGACTAACTCCAATATTTCTTCAAAGATCACAATTGTTAATATGATAATGTTATTTCTTTTATTTTGATTATACCCGGGAAAAATTAATTGTTTCTGTAATAGCAATGTATCTTTTACCAGGTCCCATTTATTAGGCATTTTATTTATGCGGTATAACTTTCAGGAATCAAAGGATGACAGCATATTCTTCCTTGGAAGCTCTAAAAGTGGTGTTGGCTTTCACAAACACGTTGATGCCTGGAATGGACTAGTGTTTGGACAGAAGAGATGGTTTCTTTACCCGCCATACAAAACACCCCCTGGAGGTATGTCCATGACTTTGGGAGATTACCATCCCCCTCTCAAATTACCATTTTGACAGTTAATAAATGTATTTAAACCAATGTGTAATGACCATGCCTGTCCTACAATGTAGAACAATGATAAAAGGAGAATGATTTTTAGTGAAAGTGCAATAATTTGTAGTTTCCCAAATAAATGTGGATTTCACACATTATATAAAATGAACACATAAGTATTAACTCTAGTTTTCCTTGAATAAGGTATGAATACAAATAGATGTTCTTAAATTGAACCCTCTGGCATTAGCCTATGTCACTTATACCTGTATTTAATCAATAGTACATGAATCAAATTAGTATACTCCAATTTATTCCAGAGTGTCTAGAAGTACAAAATGGTATCAATATTGATGCCTACATGTTGATGTTTTCTCAACTTTATTAACAGTCTACAGTGTGACTCAATAAAAATGTTACAAGTATAAAAAAGTTGATATCTTTTATAATTTTGGGATTAACACTAAATTATAAATTGAATTTTTAAGAAGCAAGTTCCTTCAATTAATTTGACACCAGCAGATTGAAAATTCTTTCATGATTGACTACACAGGACAGATTTCATTTACTCATTTGAAATCTGACTTGTGCCTACTTCTCAGTGGTTAAAAAGAACAAAGGACAAAGAGGAAGCATTTCTTTAACATGTATCTAAATTCACAGTTAAGATTGACATTTTACTGATTCATTCAGCAATTTTTCTATCTGTCTATTGGAACATGTCCACTGTGCCTATCCATGCAAACATGCGCTTGCCTCAACATATCCCTACAAGCACATGTGATGAGCTCCCTATCTTTTCGCACTGCACTGACTATATCAATTATTCTTTGATATGTTTCATTCAGATCAGTTGGAAGTGTTGTGAAGACCTTGATTTTTAGGTGGCTGCACAAGAGGAAATCCAGGGAGGGTTTAAGTCGGGTGACCTTGAGGAGGACTCGACTGGGTTATTTAATGCTATGAATTTTGTCACGGCCCTTCCAACTGTAAGGAGGAGTGCCATCCTTTTGTTACCACACTGATTCTACTGGCGTTTAAATCTTAGAATGTCATCCAGAAAAGGCATGACATGTTCAGCCACTGAGAAGTTGGGGCAAGTCACACGAGTTAATAAAATCTGTCCTTTGCAGTCAATCATGAAAAGATTTTGAATCTGCTGGTGTAAAATTAATCAAGAGAGCTTTTCAAGAACTCAACTTTATTTTAGGATTATTATAAAAATTGAATACACATAATGATATTTTCATACTTGAAACATTTTTATCGAGCCACTCTGTATGTTAATTAATTTGAGAAAGCATGGCATCAGGTGTTTCGTGTAATGAGTTTCTCAGAAAGAACAGAAAAGATGAAAAGCTTGACTATATCCCTCAAGGATTTATTTAGCAAAGAAAACCATTTTTGAGGAAATTTACTAAAAAACAAAAGCTAAATTTCTAAAATAGCCATATCTCAGTATATTATTGGAAACAAATTTGTACTTTATGAACTATTTGAATTAATATAGCTTCATATAAGTTGGAGTGGGGGTTTCTTGTCAATTAGCTATCATTCTTACTTCTGTATATCCTGTTTGTTGTATTTCTGGTTTCTTTAAGTACTGGAAACCAGGTGGTTCAAAGAGATGGCATGCTTACTTACATTTCAATTTATATTAACATTCTTTGTTATAGTAACCCGGATATCCACTGGAGAATCTTATTACATCTCTGGCTACCTTTTCAAATTTAACAACATATTGCTTGTTTTGAAGCTATAGAAAACTTCTTACAAAAAATTCTTCATTTGCCATAACATAATTTCAAATTAATTTTGCAAGCAACTTGAATATTGCACTTGTACAGGGAGGTTAAACAAGCACTCTCCCAAGCTGTTTAAGATTCATTTCATAAGTAGTTTCAAAGGCAGCTTTAATGATGCAGAATTGCCAAAGATGTTCAAACTCCAGTTCAATTGGGCTGGATGTCATCTAAGAATCTTCTATCTTAAAATCAAGTAGCCTTATTCAAACAACATAAGAGAATTTGCTAATGAAGTACATAAATATAGACTACTTCGTGATAAAAACTCATAAATCAGTCCACTAATCAATGACAAGGTTGGGCACAAGGAACAACATTTGCAAAACTGTGCATACACATTTGTCAGTAAAATCATGGGCTTCTAGTTGAAAGCCCATGGTAAAATGTACAAACTGATAAAAACAATCAGACTTATCTGGAATTATCATAAATTAAAAAATATGTGATTACTGATTACCATTAATTCCTTCATTCAACATAATTATCCCACCGAACGAAGCTGGAGGGGGATATAGGAAAGTCGCCCGTCCATCCGTTCGTCCGTCCATTTGTCCGGGCGATAACTCGAATACCGGTTGATGGTTTTGATTATGGGCTTATGCCTTATGAGGGTAGACCTCTGCTCCAGAAGGAATTTTCAATATGGCCACTTAATTCAAAAATGGCCGCCATTTTTTATGTCCCCACCACATAGTGTGGGGCCATATTGTCGGCCCAGGCGCGTCCATGTGTCTGTATGTCCGTCTGTCCATCCGTAGATCCGGCAGTTTTCTCCAAAACCGCTACAGATATCACCTTCAAATTTTCAGGGACAACTTATGAGTGCATATAGATGTGGATGAAAAATATTTAACTCGATACCTACTTCCTGTCGGCCATTTTGAAGTCAAATGCTAAAATCCTTGTCTGTAAACTTTAAGAAAAATGGCTTAACAGTTGCTTTTGAAACTTTAAAATCTTGTTCAGCTCACTTCATTCTACATCTGATTAGGTTTTGGACCTATTAGCTCAGTCATGTCAGCCATTTTGAATGTTTTAAGAAAAGTTAGCACGCAATAATACTTTGTATCATATTGAATGGTGTTTTTCAGTTTTCATACTTTAACTATTTAGTAGCTTTATAAATAATTTTAGGTGTACTTTGTTGTAAAAGCCTATGTTATTGTTAACAGTAGTCATATGTGATAATTTTGTAAAAAGAAATCAGCAAAAACTCTGTTTGACAAAGAATTTACAAGATGGCAGCTGAATTTTAAAGTCGCCACCATTTTTCAAATAGCAGTGAATGGAGTTTTTCAAATTTAATATGCTGTTCGAGAACGATTTTCAAAATGGTGGCTGAATTTTAAAATGGCTGCCATTTTTCGCAAAAAGGAATGTAATCTTTGATAACTCAAACGCTAATTGACAGATCTGATAATAATCTAACCTAAACTAATAATCAAAATATGTTTGGTGGGATTTTCTACTCCGTTGAGTTGCTGTTTTTCTAGTTCAGACACTGGTTAACCAATCAATTATGAAGACTTACATAGTTTAGAATATATTCCTGGTCACCTACAAAGGAAATGCCCCTTTTTAAGGAACCCCTGGAATCATCACTTAAACTATGAATGGAAAAAAATGAAGAGTATAGGGAGTATTATTTCTGTACCTGACAATTTACAAAAGAAAATTGACTCAGCAAATCATAAGAAAACCTGGCTCAGTACAGAAATGGAACTCTAAAATTACATTCGTAGAGACAGGGTGCTTCAATTTGAAGATAAAAAGCATTTTCTGTAACATTATACACACTTTATACACAGGTGAGGGTGGGCCAAAATATGCCCATATTTTTTATTTTGATATTACTTTTTTGAAAATGCATGGGTTTTGATAAAATTTTAACAAGGTATCCATAAATCAATTTTGCAATTTTCTGGAGTTTCTGAAAAATTAAGTTCAAGAAGAAGATATTTTAGCAACAATTTTACACTGATATTAGTTTGTACCAGAGTGGCACATCATTAAGTCTCTTAGATATCTAAGTGCCAGAGGGAAATTACCAAAAACTGTAAAGAACCCTAGCAAGAAAATCGATCTTCAAATGTAAACCTAATTAAAATATACCCTATAGATCCCAAAACCATGATCTTACGTGAAAAGAACACACACACTGTCCAACACACTTCCCCCCTCCAATTGAGAGTCAACATCAGTGGGGCTAAAACCAAAAATTGGGCCCACATTTTTGAAAATCAAGGCCCATATTTGATAAATTGGCCAGAAAGGAAAGGCCAAATTATACCCAAAAATGCCCATTTTTTGGGGCCATACAAAATTTTGGGGCCCAAAAATTATGTATCTGTTGAAGAAAAATTGAAAAAGAAGCCATTAAACTCATAACATAGAAAATAGTTGTAGATACTAGTACTTTACAAAATATAGAGCATTCAGTTTCAAATGATGTGGGATAGATGAAATCTAGTCTTGAAGTCCCCAAAGGCAATAATTCAAAGGGTCAACATCCATTTGTAAAGCCATCCCCATTTGGAAATGCTTAGAATGCATCATATGCAATGCAAAAAAAATTCCATGTTGAACCCGTGTACCTCCCTTTTGGAACTTCCTTTGCTTGCACAGATGCTAACCCAAAAAGTCGCATCCTCTTGAGATTTGCTGGCTACACCCTGCTTTATAATTAATTTCTTATCAACCAAATGCACTTTTCATCTTTTTGTATAGTATGCATAGTTTATCTAAGTGTTTTTACGTTTTTATGCCAACACTGTCTATAGAATAAGATGATTTAAATGAATTTTCTTTTGTTCAGGTGTACAACCTGGATTCAGCCAAATTGATTGGTTTAGAAAGGTTTACCCAAATCTGACAAAGGACCTGCCTACAGAATGTGTGCATAATGCTGGTGAAATATTCTATGTGGTAATTATTAATTTTTTATTCTGACACTTACATGCAATGTCCTTTTATGAGACAACAAAAACATGTTTCCCAATAATTGCAGACCCTGGATCTTTGAAAATTGACTAACAGGGAAAAAAGTTAATCAATAGGTCTAAGGATGCACTCATTTTCAAAGATCAGTGTCAGTTATTGGACATGCCTTAATTAGGGATACCTTAATTAGTCCTTGTACATTTGTTTTTTTCTAGGCGAGTTTGTTTTCATACGTGAGTGAAATATAACAAATTAATAGAAAATTAAAGCAGAAATGTCAAACCAGTTAGGTTAGCCATTGCTCAGACATACTATGTCTGCAATTATGGGCAAATATCCCTAGAATTCAGAATGAATCATTTTTAGGTGCAACATGAAGAATACAATGGCACATAACACTTTTAGAAATATTCAAGCGTCTAGACTCACATGGGCTGAGGTTGAGGTCATTAAATTCAGCAAGGGTGTAATTACTTGACATGGGATGTGCTCCATTGACTTAACATGAGGATATCATCATGTCCCAATAGAAGCCATTGGTTTCCATTAATTATCACAAATATACCAAAAAACACTATGACCGACATTGATTGCAAATTAAATAATTTCACAATATGACACAAATGCTATATCTCATCAAATGTGCAAATATGAAGTTTACAATCGATTCAGGTCATACTTTAAATTGAAAGATTATACATTTTTTCATAATTTTTTTCTTATAAGATTACGATCTAAAAATGCTCCAAAAGCAGCTTTTACATTTCAAATGTCAAACGACTTTGTAAATCAAAAGATTATACTATTATATTTCCTGAACTAATAACATATTTGGATAAGATGTAGGGGTGCGTAGGATGCAAATGGATCTTGATGAACATAAAATGTTTAGCTTATTTAGCATCTACACTTCATGATTGAATATTGACCCTAATAAGTGGCCCATTCATTAATACAGTGCTGAATATAGGTCAACAAGGTATTAGAGTACATATAAATGTGATAATAAAAGCAATATATTCATTTTGAAAAATCAGATGAATTAATTTTTTCTCGTGGGGAAATCATAATGGAGAGTGCACAACTTCCTTTGTTCTTTGGATAGGAAAAACATGTTTCTCAAACCCTGGAAAGCTTTATTGACTGATAAGAAAAATAATCAGCAGTTATAGGGACATACTATACAAGTATATTAGTTTGATTTCTTAGATTAGTGCCAGTTATTGAGATGCCTTGATTAGATATGCATTACATTTTGTACTTTTGTTAATAATAAATCAATAGTGCTTTTTGGCACAGATGATGAGCCTTTGGAATCATCATGCTGACAGTCTGTTTGTATGTCACTCATTTTGGGATAAATCAAAACTGCCATTTGTCCTAATCAATGCTCATGTGGGTTTATGCTAGTAATTCACCCCATTGACCCTCTAGCCTCTGCCTTAGTTTTTAGAAATCACCTTTCAATAAATCATCCTACTGGAATTAAGTTAGGAAAAGCTGATCCTACAAAACAAATAAAGGAGGTGGGAAAGTATCGCAACAGATTTCGGACAGTCATATGTTTGATTTTTGCTATTTTCTGAGGATTTAAACAAGTGCATATGCTTCACCAATGCATTACCTCCAGGAAAAGCGATCCTAGAGATGATAAAATAATTTTGACTTTGAGACAGGGAAGATGCAAACAACCCACCCACATGTTTTTTCTGAAATGTTTTCCTGATTTTCAACCCCTTCCACCCATGGTTGTGTGTGTTAAAAAACAACATATTGATGCAAGAAAAATTAAAAAAGCAGGGGTGGAAGGGGTTGAATGCCTTGTATTACAATATGTTTTGCGCTCTTTCCATGCCATGTCAGATCTATAATTATGTCTTTATTTCAAGATAATCCTTTGATTTTAAAGCTGTCTGTCTAATGATTTCAAACATTCAATTCCAATCAATTGGACATTAAAGATGCATTAGTAGATGGGTGAATATGTGGTGAAACTCAATATGCAAAAAAGTCCAGAGGGGTCTTGATTGGGCTATCCTATGGCATAGAGCCTCTTTAACTATAAATATGTTCAACTGCTTCTTTGTATAAATATATCTTATTATGAGAAAATAAAATTAGGATTTTGATGGAAACTTTAACATTCACCTGTTTTTGAAAATACATTTTACACTCTAGTCTTCATCTTTTCTAATTCGTTTGTTTCTCTTGCCTATTTCATAACATAACCTTGTGTGTTACGATGTCAGAATTCCTTTGAAGTACATAAAAATTGATACTTAATCATAAGAGTATTTGACATAAAATGATTTTATGCCATCACTCACATTCTACCTGCATTCACTTTGAAGAAGATTACCACTTGGTATTTAGATACGATATCTAAGCTAATGAATTGATCATATATCACATTGTTTCATATGATGTAAACTTAATCAGAATGTTCCAAGACATCCTGTGTTGATCATGTAAAATATATATGGTTGCTATGGTAATCATAAATATGTAGAACGTTGCCATATTTATGATTTTAACAGAAAGGATTCAATAAAATATTGTCCTTGGTACTAAATAGTCTATAAACTACTATATACTACCCTGCATGCAGAGTCTTGATCTAAACTACACTCCGCCTAATATAGACTACATGTATATTAAAATTTTGCAGTCACACCCACGACCAGTGCCCATGACAACCCCAGTTATGAATCATTTCAAACCTACCATACTGACATTTTATTTACTAATTAATGAGCTGGAAGGAACACATGCTTAATTTGTGCTCATTAACAATGTCGTGACATCACAATAAATGACCATACATTCCAAAAACAAACTCTGACTGGTTCTGTGAGTTCCGAGATTTAATGTTAACTGAAAGAATGAATTAGACGAAGCTCTCTTTCAAAAAGAAAGTCGAACGAATGTAAAGGGTAGCTATTGGCCTGCCATACTATTTGTGATAGGCTTGCTACTGCTAATTAATCATTGATTGAATTAATGCACTTTCAAGATGAACAAGTGTTAAGTAATTATCTAATAGCTTCCTGCCTTATGGAATAATTTTTTTGATAAATAGGCAAATCAATATCACATTTGGTAAAATAGATTCAGATGATGACAGTTGCATTAGCATGCTTTTAACATGTAGATATAGTTATCCCCAACTGTGACTGTATAATCAACTGTACCTAGCTAATATACTAATATATATTTTTTAATGTGATATAGCCTGAGGGATACTACCATGCCACTCTGAATATTGGCAACACGATTGCAGTAGGCATACAGAAGTTAGAGGCAATGACAAACTCTGAGAAGCTGTTTTATAAACGTAAGCCTCTTAACCCATAAAATATCACATATGTTTTATTCATTTTCATAATTTTATGTTTTAATTTATCAGCAATAATACTTTGATTCATTCACATTTATTCCTTATAAATGCCTTAGAATATGTTCAAGGAAATGTAATGGCTTCTGTAGGAATGAAATGTCATTTGGTGCTATGGTCCTGGATTGTGATACTGTCATTAGACATTGTTGTCTTTTCACTTTGTACTATGGTATGATATAGTTTGGGTTTGTTTTCCCTATGTAGTGGAGTCAGAATGTGGGTTTAGGCGTGCGTTCAGAAGGATTTTATGGGACATAATTTTTCATGTTACATTTGTATTGATAATTAGATCCTAGTTTTTCAGCTTTTAGATTTTGTGGCCATTTTACCCCAATGGGCTATAATTTGGACCCCTACTATAACGTTGGGCCAGAACTCCAAAAATACTGAGTGGAATGTTTCCAAATTACTAAGATATATTGGTATAGGCTAACTGACTCTTGTACATCACTTAGATGTTTTCTTTTCTTGCTGGGTGCTAAATGTTTTTTTTTTGGTTTTCCATTTGGAACTTCATATTTGGATTCATGTGTATGATTGTGAAAAGTGTAGGATTGGTTTATGTAATCTATCTCATATTAATTTATTTAGTAATTTTTCTTTGTTGAAAAATTTCTTCAAGTCTTTACAACTTGTCAAAAAAGTTGTAATGGCATAATATATCATGCACTGCATCCCTACATTCCTGTCACATTCATACGTCATGATATATTATCTATTTCCTCTTGTTAACGAAGATCTTACACAATATATAAGTCATTTTTGCACAAGTAAGAAACATGAATTTGTCTCATTAATTTCATTAAAGTTTGCCTGGTTTATTATTCAGATGTGAGCACTCTCTCCATTCACATCAAGGACAACATCAGTTTTAATACTTTTGAGGAACTCTAAAAGAAATATATACATGATAATACAATAAATACAATTAGTGTGTTTTTTGTAAAGACACATCTAAAAACGTAGTTATAAATCAATAAATAAATACCAAAGAAATAATAAATATAATTGATAATTAATGCTTTTCCTTGGCTTCAAGTACTTTATTTTAATAAGAAAATATAAGTATACACTATAACAATACACTATGTAACACCTCACGTAAACTAACATTGTTGTTTGTAACTATATGCTTTATTATGGAATCAGTTATATTACTTAATCCTTGCTATTTTATGTATTAGCAGTGAACCACTTTGTGTCCAACCTGTATTATTACCACCTTGCTGGGCCTGTTCTAAGGGTATGACTACTAGTTTAGAAGGCTTATATTTTACTCTATTGACCCGAGCAATATGTGACATCATAGTGGTGGGCCAAAATGGTTATTTTGGTCAGTCGGTCAGTTTCTCCGTCCATCTGGAGCATAAGTCAAATACTAGTGGATGGATTTGCTTCATATTTGGTGAAAGGCATAAGGCATTTTACTGAACTACATTTCAGGTGTTTTTTATTGTAGTACTATACCTCCTTTAGCTAGAAATTGCCTCTCTTACAACTCTGCCTCACATAATATGAATCCTGTCTACAATTTGTGCTATGTCCCTGGAATCTAATTATGCTAGAGACATAGATCTAATCAAGCCACCTAGATCAAACAGAATATGCCAGAATAAAATGAGCAATCAAATTACGTTTTAATATGTATGCACAAGTGTCAAAGGGAAAGGACAAAAATATTACAGAACCCAACAAGAAACATCTAAGTGCACACCATACCAGTGATAAGGAGAATGAACCCCAACTATCCCAAACCATAATCCAATGTGAAAAGAAACATTGTCTTATACTTTCTATGAGTGAGGAGTTTTTCTTAAATATTTTAAACCCAATACAAATTTAAAGCATCACTTATTCTTTCATCAATCAATTCTTTGACTGAAGGTTGATCTCTTTCTCTGACTCCTTACAGTCCATATTATCAGCAATATGTATTATTAACACAATAGCTTGAAAGAGGGTAGGATGCCTCTTACGTAACAAGTTGCTTGTTTAATATTTTAAATATATGTAGTTGATTCATACATCTGTTTTGTTGGAAAAATGGAACATCAACCTGGCTCTGTTCTGGGTATTCTCATTCTCAATCCTTTCATTTGTACTCTCACATAATTTTGTTGGAACTGTACTTTTCTAGATATTAGCATACACCTAATATAAGTAACACTAGTATGGAGTTTCAGCTTGCAATGTTTTTCACAACCTCAACGTGAACGGAAAATATTTAAGTGATACATTTGTATGGTCAATTGGTCATACGTATAGGTTGGTGCTATGCAAGCTTAAACTCCCTATTGTAATACCAAACAAACTTGGTGAGTCAGTTATTGATAAATTTATTCATCAGTTTATGTAAATATAGATTGTATTCTATTAACATGAATTGTACATCCTTCTTGTAGATGGGTACTTGCAAGATGTTCTACAAAATGGCACATTATCTGAGGCTGAAGTTCACAGAAACCTTAAGCTTCAGGAGGAAACATTGCTTAGATTAAACAAAATGTTTCCAGGTATGGAACTTTTAACAGTCACAAGGTAGAATAAAAAGCAGTTCCTGTAATGAATTTTTAACCTCAATGACTCAGGTGGAAAACAATGAGGTAGTAAAAATGCAAAGACATTACACAAGTCAAAAGGAAACAAAATCTCAAAATTCCAGGTAATGAGATTTGATCCATCTAAATCTCGTAAATGGTTTACAGATTCAATATTTGAAAAATAGTGTTCAATATCTACTAATTGTTACTCTCTGCGCAGAGTCTAGTTGTGGACTACCCTCTGCCTAGTATAGACTATAATTTCAGTTAAGCAACCCAGCATTCCCCCGGTGCCAGCCCTCCCCAGTGCCTTGGTCATAAATCATTTCTAATTATCCACGCTTTTCTCAACCAATCAATGGACTGGAAGGAACACATGCTAAATGCATGCTCATTAATTATGCGATGATGTCAGAGTAAATGACCATGTATAGAAGATCATCCATATTTCAAATATGATCTCTGATTGACTCGGTGAGTTCAGAGATTGATTGTAAACTGAGAGTGAAGAGGAAGCTCTCTTAAGAAGTGAAGGCGAGGGAATGGCAAATGAATTGTAATCATCTCAAATGTTGCACCAATATTATTTGTAAACATGGTTGGACAACTGGGACTCTAATTTGAATATCATGCCTGTTATTTTTATATATTCACAATCATCATTTGTGTATATCTTGTGTAGAGAACAGCACTGTTTAAGGTATGACCCTCATTTTTCTCCATCCAAATATGATAGTCCTTTAATCCTAAAAGAAGAACATCGTTTTAAAATATGACAATCATGAAGTATTATCAACAGATATGCTCATTAGTGTGCTAATAGGCATTTAATATCAGGTTGTCAGGTTTGTCATATGTAGCAAGAAAACAAGGATGTTTAATGCGTCAACACCGTTAGTTATAACTATTTATTAACAGATTACATCAGTTATATCACATTTTTAAACATGTGATACAGGAAATAACCCTTAAATGGGAATTCTGAATTTAAAGACATATCAAGTTTAGTAATAAGTGGTTTTGGTTTATGATTGAAGCTTGAAATAAAATTTATAATTGCAGTCATCAAATCATCATGTCATTGGCGTAGGGCATGGTACCCCTGGTATGCACAGGCTTACCAGATGGTTGCAAATACACTCTAGATACAACCAAACCTTAAAATTTTGAACGCTCGTTTTTCGTTTCACTCAAATTGTATTCCCATGGTGGAGTACTACTCATGAAAAAAGCGCTACGCCCATGCATGCATTTTTTGTGTGTATTATAATACAGGGTGTCAAATGGCGTTGTGCCCCCTATCCCTAGCATAAACTAGAAGAGGTACACATGCATACTATATACCATTGGAAAGAGCATTTAATTCTTCTTAGAGTGTGAAAAGATGAAGATGGATGATAGAAAATAATACATAATTTGAACCAACTTTTAAAAGAGAGTTTGGCCATCCCCCGCAGCTTTAAAAGGCTGCCAGTCAGGCTGGATATCAAGTTAAAAGGGCATTGAAAAGAGCAATGTCATGAGCAGAGATCTCAATACTTTTTGAGGTTCTCCTGGAGAATATCTATGGAATATCTGTTCTCTACAGCTTCAACTTCCATAAGTAGCTCTGTTTTATCCATTAATATGGGCTCAGTTTGAACTGAAGCATTTAAGTCAGAGTTGTTGCTCGGGTATTCACCAATACCAAAAAGGTCTATGCAGGAATTTTTAAAAATCAATGAAAAAAGCACTATAGTGGTGCATTTCAAATGCTTATGAAACTTTGTAGCAATATCTGACCCTGGTCATCTAGCGTCCATTTTATCAAGAATTGAATGCTCTTTCTAATGATATATATAATGTATGTGTACTTCTCCTAGTTAATGCTGTGGAAGGGGGGCACAACGCCATTTGACACCCTGTACAGTTAAACCTGTATATTGTGAACACATATGGAGCTACAAATAGTGTTCACTTTAGGTAGGTGTTCAATACAGAGAGGGTTTTCATACAGGAGTCAATATGAAATATATCTTGAAGTGAGTTCACTAATCAAAGGTGTTCATTAGAGAGAGGTGTTCACTAAGACGGGTTTCATTGTATGAGGTCTTATTCTTTAATGTAAATATCATGTTTTATTCCTTTAAATACTGTCATACAAATTCATAAAATAAAATGTGTTGTTTTATTTGTAGGTAATACAGAAATACTATTTAAACTTGCAAGAGTGTATAACAAAAAGGGTGACACTGAAACTGCCATATCATATTACACTGAAGTAATAGATCGAGATGTTTATTTTATCTGTGCTTATATTGAACTAGCTGCCATCTTTACAAAGGTTAGTATCCAAATCAATATTTCACTGGATAATTGAATTGTATTTCTTTTTTTAGTAAATGAATTTGTGTATGTGTTATTCACCACAAAAGTAAAGGATGGAAGGCATCAGAAAAACTTAAGACAATATAACAAAATGCATTATTGTTTTACTCTTAATTGTTCCCTATACAGTCACGCCCGGTGATCGTACAAAATGGATGGAGGGGGGGATTAGCCGATTTCTGCAAGAAAACTCAACAAATTTGGAAGATTTATTTTTTCAAGAGAAAATTTACAACTGAATTGTCAAATGAATAGGCGCAGTGCATGGCAAAACATGTTAGGTAATCTAGTATTTTTTTTGAACTGATACCCTTCAAAGATATGAGATCTATTAAAAAAGGCGCATCATCACCAACGTGCAAAAGTCAATGTTTTTGCTATAAGTCGGGCAACAATGGTCTACACAACCTGTAATAAATAGGTATAAGGGACGTTATTATCACAATACTAATGACATTGCTCACTTTTTAAATTTAATTTCCATGCGTTATACAAAAAATAATCGAAAAAAATTAATTTTGGATGGAGGGGGGGGGAGTGGATGGAGGGGGGGATTAATATGTCTTTACGATGGAACAAATTCACAAGAACTCGTGTATTTGAAAAAACTAAACTCAGTACCCCAGTAAGAAACTGGATATTATATCTCTGGAGAATGAAAAATGGGAAAATTTGGAGTCATAAGAATAAATTCAAGCAGCATGTCTTATCATGTCTTACATACACGTGATCCCCCCCTCCATCCAATCCCCCCCTCCATCCACTATCAATTTATTTCGATTATTTTTTGTATAACGCATGGAAACTAACTTTAAAAAGTGAGCAATGTCATTAGTATTGTGATAATAATGTCCCTTATACCAATTTATTACAGGTCTGGAAGAACATTGTTGCCCGATTTATAGCAAAACCATTGACTTTTGCACATTGGTGATGATGCGCCTTCTTTAATAGATCTCATATCTTAGAAGGGTATCAGTTCAAAAAAAATACTAGATGACCTAACATATTTTGCCATGCACTGCACCTATTCATTTGGCAATTCAGTTTTAAATTTCCTCTTGAAAAAATAAATCTTCCAAATTTGTTGAGTTTTCTTGCAGAAATCGCCTAATCCCCCCCTCCATCCATTTTTTACGATCACCGGGCGTGAGTATCTCCATCAAAGTGTAATGTGCATGTATTACCACTCAGAATTTTGTCTATGTTGAGTCCATGTTCGTTAATAAAAAGAACCATCCTCAAACTATCAATTTAAAAATATTTTATTTTCAGAAAAAAGATTATTCCAAAACAGAGTTGTATTATACAAAGGCACTTACCCTCAACCCAAACAACTGGGATGTTCATGCATACTTTGGTGACTACTTTTATGAAAGGGCTAACTGGAAGAAAGCATCTGAAATGTACAGGAAGGTACATACACTGGAGTAGTATATTTTAACATTAAACACCTTATCAAATATTCTCGAATGATGAGTAATTTTTATTATCGACCATATATATGCATTTTAAAGATGTGCCCTAGTATTGTGAACATGATGAATGTCTACACAAATATGGCACTTGACATATATATGTTTTCATATATGTTCCACTAAATATGTAATATTGCTATACATGTATACATTTATTCCATTTACATTATGTATTTTCTTTCAGGGAATAAAACTCAGACCCCAAATGTCGCAATTCTGGCAAAGACTAGCAATTGTAGAGGGTTACCAAGGCAATCAAGATGCAGCTTATGAAGCGGAAGAAGTATATGAGACACTTGTGGCAAATTTAGCGAATAACATCAAAGATTAATTGTTTTTCTGGCATGTTTATATCAATATAGAATTCCAGTCTTGTATAAAACTGAATGTAGTAATAACATATCCAGGACTTATTCAGGGTCATTGAACTTGAATTCAGTGGTTCTTGTCACACAAAAATGTTGCTCTAAGATACTCTTGGAAGGAATGAGGGTGAGAAGAATGAAAGTTTACACCTTATGGCTCATGATTGGGAATCACTTAACTTGTATTCGTGAATGCAAATAGCAGCTATCGGCTACCGGGTTGATTACAATTAGATGGCAAACTTATTTAAATATGAATAGTACCTGCCGTGCATACCGTTAGTTGCCAGCTCTCGCCTCAAAAGCAATAGCTGACCTAAATAACGTTTTAACCTGGTATTAAAGCAGCAACTAACACCGACTACAGAGATGTTCGGAATAAGTACATAGCGGAAGTATATCTGGCAAATGTGCATAGTCTCAAAACACATTTTAAGTATGTTCGATCATGTGACAACTGCAAAAAAATGTGATCACTGTTAGGCGACAAACAGGTTGTTCTAACTATAAGTTCAAACTGATTAATAGGATAATCCGGTAGCTGATAGGGTACCGCCGATAGCCGTTAGTTGCATTCGAGAATACAAGCTGAGTTATGTTTCATGTGTCTGTCTGGCTGTGTTTAGTGGTTTTTCTCTGGTAATTGTGCTGACATATTTAGTATCAAAGGTTTCATTGGTCAATCAAAGCTGCTATGAGTTATGATAAAACACATTGTGTCAAAACAATGAATTCAATTCAATTGGCCTAACAGTAATTTGCTACTGATCCTGGTGATCCGGACACCAAATATTTGAGATGCAATTCACACATATTTGGGCCTTTTTAAAGGGGTATTCCTTGCCAGAACATTTCTCTGCTAATATGGTAGCTATAAGAGGTGATGTCATCAATTCTCAACTTTGATAACTTTGCTCATAGCAGAATGCGAAATTAGCACAAAATCACTTCTTGACAGTTGGTCCTTACTTTCTGTTCAAAAATATTTCGAGAGCTTGTCAACTAAGAAGTAATGAAGATATTGTCTGAAGATTTAAATCAAAGACAAAATTAAAAAGAATATTCAGTTGGGTTTGCCCTTCTTAACACCTCCTTGCGTTATACTGTATGCAATTAAAGAGTTGATAACATCACTTGTGTGAAATCTTGAAAGATGACAGTCTACTCAAAATGAGCACTACATTTTTTGCTTTTATTGTGGAGTCTCATTTAAAGTGTTGTTTCTATATTAAGAGTTGGGACTTGTTCAGATTTCGGAATTAATGATGTTTTCATATGCTATTTATATTTACAATATAGTTATGATATTAATGAATCCATTTGACTGTCATTAATACATCAATAAAATGCATTTATTCTGCAACTTAATCACACATGATAGTGCGTCTAAATATCCGATTCATATCACTTTATGAATTTCTAAAGGATGATTGATCAGATGTTCTTAAAATATCACAGCTATGTAGAACTATTGGTAATGTTCAAAGAAATAAAATACCCATCAAGTGTTACACGCCATTAATGATACCAATATTTAACGATAACATATAAGAGTGTGGCATGATATCTTCCTATAACAGCTAGTACTGCATGCTCTTTTGGGGTTAAATGTGGAAATAAATTATTAATTATAAACCTATTAATTTGAACACATGGCTGGTCCCATATGTGTTTGGATTAGACAGGTTTTACTGTATTTGCATGCAACATTAAGAATGCAAATAATGGCTATTGGCTAACGGGTTGATTGCAATTAGATGGCGAACTCATTTAGATATGAATAGTACCTGCCATGCATACCGTTAGTTGCCAGCTCTCGCCTCAAAATAGCTGACCGAAATAACAGTTTAATCTGGCTATTAAGCAGCAACTAACACCGACTATTGAGGTATTTGGGATTGTAAATAGCGGAAGTACATCTGGCGCATGTGCATAGACTTAAAACACATTTAAGTTTGTTCAATCATGTGACATTAGCATAAAATGGCATGTGATCACTATTAGTCGACAAACGGGTTGTTCGCAAATTACAACTTCAAACTGACAGCTTAATTTATGCAAATTAATAGCTTAAGCCAGTAGTTGATAGCCGTTAGTTGTATTCACAAATACAAGTTAAGCCTTTTATTTATCTTGGCACTCCCGGTAGGCATTCACTTATTGGTCCCTCTGTCAGTATTGGTGCTTTTCATATTACGGTCATTAGTTCACATGGTGAGCTTTTGTAATTGCTCACTTGTTTTATTTATGTATTTGACCTGTCCTTTCCAAAGCCCTATCATTTTTGGATAAATTGGTGACTTTTGTGTTAAAAGTGCACCATTCTATATTCTTTGCAATACATGTAGAACTACCAGGTACAAGATATATCCTATGAAAATTCCATAGCTGCAGGGCCAGGAGTATGTTTTTTGAGTTTATTCAATAAATGCCAAAAGGTTTAATCTTGTCAGGAGTTCTTGTCACAGTATTGCAGCATTTTGACACCAAGCAAGACAGAACAAGTTTGACTGTCAACACATACTGATAAATCAAGTAAAACCTTTACAAAACTGAACATTTATCACACTTTAAAGGTGCAACAATTAGTGCATTCAATGACCATCGACCAGTGTCAAAATATATTTAAGTTTGAATATTTCATCAAGACTAACATATATTTTTATTGTCTACAAAGAAACCCCTTGGATGGACATTTTTTCAGCTGATATTCCTCTTGAAACGTGGTGAATCTTAAAAATCTATAAGTGGGACTCCCTTTATAGAAGCTTTGAACTGAATTTACACTTCTTAATGCATAAATTGATGGTTTATCCACACATTTTAAGAAAATAGGTTTGTCAAAGAAGATGTTACGCCGGGTTTGTAGAAAAAACAGGTACCGGGTAGTAAATCCTCCATGCTGGGTTCAAACTTGGTACCCGGTACCCGGTCGAAAAATATAAATATATAACATAATTAGATCATTAAAAAACGTGTATGATTTGTTTTGAATTTACAAAAATGTATTTAACTTCCTTCAAAATTGAGCTAAAAGCTTCAAATAAAAATCATTGTAAGGCTCTTTTCTTCCTCTATCATCATGGTCATAATTTCATTGGTTATGGGGGGTATGATCGCACCACCTCCTGGCTACGCCTATGACATTGTAAGACGTAACAATTTACACTTCGGTGGACGTTTCGTCAAAAATTGGGATAACTTAAATTACGATTAAAATCAAAATCTTACACGTTGCATCATGTAAATTAACACACGTCACCTCTCTGCTAAAGTAACGATAGCTATTTGCAATTTATATCATAATCAAAACAATTCATGTACCAACATACGAACTATTGAAAATAGAGTAAGATTGATTTGTCATGTTTTTCAAATCGTCTTACAATGTCATAGGCGTAGCCAGGAGGGGGTTTGATGTCCATAACCAATGAAAATATGACCACGATGATAGAGGAAGAAAAGAGCCTTAAAATGCTTTTTATTTGAAGATTCTAGCTCAATTCTGAAGGAGGTTACATACATTTTTGTAAATTCAAAGCAAATCTTACACATTCTCTAATGATCTAATTATGTTATATATTCGTATTTTTCATTTTTTGGGGTACCCGTTTTTTTCTACCGGGTACCAGGTACCAAGTTTGAACCCAGCATGGAGGATTTACTACCCGGTACCCGGTTTTTTCTACAAACCCTGTTAAGCCAGATATTCACCTGATAGCTCAGAAAAAATAAAAATTTTCTCTACAGTCCTTGTTGCCCCTTTAAACAATCATGTGTTATGTTATACTTGCTTTCAGAATCCTTTGTTTGATTGGTTGTTTCTTACGTAATGTCATTTGATATTGATTTTGGATGTATCATCTTTCTCTCTATTCCACTGCCATAACAGACTGACTCATCTTGCTTCACACTGTTACAGTATTCAATGCTTTTAGATCCAAAGAATGTGATACAATTTGAGTCATTATTATCATCACGGTCAGAGTAACAATATTTTACATTCAAGCGCTATTTCATTTCATGATGATAAATTAATTATCTGATGCAGTGATGCTAGTATCAATCAAATGACAGCATTGAAAAATTCATCCACTATGTCAATTGTGCCATCTATATTTCGATATATATGCTCAACATCACATCAATCCAAGCTTCTTTTGTATGGAGAAACTGATCAATGTTGACTTATGAACCATTTTTGGGGAAATAGTCAATAATCATATTTCAGTAATATTATATTATAAATTAAAACGAAAGAAGTCAAATATATTCTTGGAGATTAGACGCAGGACTTTCTCTCATTGTATAACACACTTTTGCCATCTCTTGGGAAATTAAAGAGATGAAGGAAGCATACATCGCTCACTATTGAACAATCATTTTTGCTCAGATATATTGTAATACAATGACTATTTTGGCAATAGATTTTAAGAGCACTTTTCAAATTTCACTTTCTACGATTCTGTTTCTATGTTATGTCAAAGTTGGGCTAGGTATTCAACATTTCTGTTCATTTTTTTATGAAACTAAAACAAGAGAAACGGTTTATATCTTGCCAAAATATGTACACGCCATGCAGACAGAATTACATTTGTATGATGCGAGACTCAACATACACCAGGAAAGTAGAAACATTTTGTCATCCATGAAACAAATTAATTTTTTACTGCTTAATAAATGGTCAAGGATACTTACATTGAGTTCTATAAGTATGAGAATAGCATGACGTCTTGATATTTCAAGGTAACTCGTTCGAAAAGTGATAGCGGTGATCGAAATTACAATATAATTTTTAATTGCGATGTAATTTTTATGTAAACATAAAACCGTAATGAAATATTTATGGATTTCTTTGAAAAACTAAGAAATATACATCACATATAGAATTTTTCAAAACAGAAAAAAAAAACATTTATAAAAAGTATGGCCTGCAGGTAAGATTCCCACCTGGTAGCATTAACATTGGTCTCATACATGTCATACAATTAATATTTGAAATACAACTATCACTTGAACTTATGATCGGACATAAATATGATGTTACTTTATTAATATTACATTGAAGTACACATCATACTTATGTCCAATCATTAGTTTGAATAATAGTTGGGTTTCAAATATTAATAGTATAACTTGTACCAGACCAATGTTAATGCTACCAGGGGGAATACAACCTACCTATTTCTTAGTTTTTTTAAAGAAATCTTCAAATATTTTGTTGCGATTTTATCTTTACCTCGTCATTTCAATCACCGTCATCATTTTTCGAACATGTTACCTTTAAATATCAAGACGGCATGCTATTTGCATACTCATAGAACATAATACGACTGTCATTCATCATTTATTTAGCAGTAAAAAGTTTATTTGCATCATGGGTGACAAAATGTTTCTACTTTCCTGGTGAATGTTGAGTCTCACATCATACGAATGTAATCACATTTCATATGTAATTTTAAACTCATCTCATATTAAAGCAGGGAAGGGGATACATGAGGGTAGTTATTTCTAATTTTTATCTTGATGGTTTAATTGTGTTTGGTGAGGGGGTTTATGTCGCTATTGTTTTGGCTATGTTATGAAGTTTGTCAGTTCCAACCATTGCTGTTCTACTAGTTGGACCTTTTTCTTCTGTAACTCATGCTTTCTTCTATTTTCTTCTCTTTTTAGCAGAAGTACTCGTTGCCATAAGTCGCGCCCTCAAAACCCGGGTTTGCCGTCATCCAAATCCGCCTTTGCAAAAATGTGAACGGTTCATAATTAGACTCGTTCGTGGTATTTTCGGGAGTTTTCAAACCTGGATTTAATTGTTTTTAATAGAAGGGTTCCTCATTATCAATTGTAATATGCAATATTTTGACCCAGACTGACACAACAGAAATTGCAACACTGGAGGATGGTAAATAGCGTGGCATTGTATTTAAATCAAATATTATTCATATATGAATAAAAATAAATTTGTTTCAAGTTCCCTCATCTCTACTGGTCAATTTTTCCTTGTTTTAGTAGCCGTTGTACTGATATATTATCTTAGTCAAAATAGAGAACGAACGAGTATAAGGGGTCTTGTAGCGTTGCATATTTTAGACCAGTCATAATAAGTAACTATTTCCAATGTGTTTAACGTCTTGGTAGATACAAAATAACACATATAAAATTTAAATAAAACGAACTTTTATATTTCGTGGCCTCATTAAACACTTATTTCGTTTGGAATGACCTTAAACCCTGGTCTGCGAAACAAACATTTAAATAAGGGATTGGCACGCCCGGGTCTGACTGTAAACCTCCTGTTCACTGTCGTATGAATTATAAATGTAGTTCCGCACACTTGTCAAGGGAAACAAAGAGTGAACCCTGCCTCTCGAACCCGGGTTTCCAGGATTCGCCTCGCATGCCTTCCACTCTCTCCTTTTTAGGAAGTTTTTCCAGCTCATCATATTGGACTTATTCCCTTTTATTTTTGCATGTGTTTATGAATATCTACTGTTTTAGGAATAGATAATTGCTCCTTTTCTATTCTTTCCAAAGAGGAATTTTTCAATTGTTGGGACATCTTCATCTAATCGGTTGAATGCAGTTAACATGTTCTCACATGAAAGAGTATATATTTGTGTCTCTTCCCTTGATCTGATCAGTTGCTTATTAGGACAGAACATAATATAATTCATGCTGGTAGAATTGATTTACAGGAATAGATAACTGTTCTTTTTCTATTTTTTCCATCTCCAAAGAGGATTTTTTCAATTGTGGGTACATCTTTATCTCATCTGTTGAATGCACTTAACATGTTCTCACATGAAAGAGTATATATTTGTGTCTCTTCCCTTGATCTGATCAGTTGCTTATTAGGACAGAACATAATATAATTCATGCTGGTGAAATTGATTTACAGGAATAGATAAATGTTCTTTTTCTATTTTTGTCCATCTCCAAGAGGAATTTTTCAATTGTGGGGACATTTTTTTCTAATCGGTTGAATGCACTTAACGTGTTCTCACATGAAACAGTATATATTTATGTTTCTTCCCTTGATCTGCTCAGTTGCTTATTTGGGCAGCACATAATGTAATATAATTTGTGTTGGTGAAATTAATTTGCAATATATTTATTTTAGAGTTATAAAAATTATGAAAGCCAAAGAAGCATTCCTTCTTGTACCATATTGTTGTTAACTTGTGAATCGAGGAATAAAGGAAGAATAATCAATCTTGTGAGCCCACAGAATAGTGCCAATTTAAAAAATACCAATCATCCCCACTATGAAATACTATATTGCCTTTTGGTCCCTTTGATACATTTATTGACTTCACAACTTATTTTTGTCTGTCCCGCATCATTTGATACCGAAATTTCTATTTTGTATGAATACTTTAGTATGTTCAACTGTTTTTCAATATTATTCTTCAACATGTATTGTAATGACTGAAGTATGAGTAAATTATCCCTTGGTGTTATGCCTCCGAACTTGAATGGTAGGGGGAGGGGCGTATTAGACATTGCTTCTTTTCACGTTAGATCATGATTTGGGATAGTTGGGGTGTCTTTTCCTTATGACTGGTGTACCGTTAGACATTTTATTTTTCTTGCTGTGTTCTGGAACAAGTTTTGATCCTTTTCTTTTGGCACTTGTGCAAACATGTACATATATTCTTATTTATTGAAGATTTCATAAATGGTTGAAAATGATATCAGAAAATTTTCTTTCGCAACCCTAATTGTATGAAATTAGTGTGTTAAGTTACAAGTTTGCTGATGTATTTTTATGTATGACATGAGGGACTACTTATAAGTCTACATAATTTCCTATTAGATTCTAAATTGCCTCAGGAAGGCAAGCTTTGGAGTGACAAAGCAATATATGGCAGTACAGAAAATAATCAATGAAAGCTGCAGAGTGAACCTTACTAAAGTAAACGTTGCAAACATCTGATTCAGAGGACACCTCAACACATTTGATAACAGTTGTCCAAGATTTAGTATAACTGCTGCGTATTCTTTTGTTTGGTGGATTTAGATCTCATATATCCTTCCAGGGTTCAATAGTATCAGGCACTCTTCTGTAGTAGAGTAGTTGCAATATTTAGGCCAATATTGGAATATCTGATGATAGCAGAGTCTATATAAGCTATTGGGTACAGTCCTGCTGTATTGATCAGTTCTACTCCAAGAATCCAATACTTTATATGAAGTCAATAGTAAAAGAGGATTATACTTTCTGAAGATCTATACTGGCAGCATTGGAGCATCCAGCTCAGACGTACAACTGTATTTCGCCTGTACAGAGCTTCAAAATTTCATTCTCACATTTTCGTGAGGGATTCAGTAGGAATATGAATTTTTTAAGGAGGAGATTTAGTTCAGGGGATTTACAAGGGGAGCTTAAAGATGATGATGATGCATCACTTAGTATATTAAACAGTTTTAAAAAAGGACCCAGCCCAAGTGCCCCAAGTTCCCCTTCAAAATCCACCACATCAGTTGGAAACATAACACGTGGATTATTTTCATCCGCTACACAACAACGACAAGTTTATAACAAGGATAGGTGTAAAACATTACTTGTAATAGATGACCCACACACAGATTGGTAAGTTCATTTTCTAATAAATTATAATGACTTGATTGAACCCTGATTATTGTATATCTGTGTGTCATGTCACACAACACCATTTTGCATGTTAATGTAGTGAATCATCTGGTTTGCCTGATTGTGTTTTTGTTGAGGCTCTAGATGACTTACCACGTGTTTTTGCCTGAGTAGACAATTTTTAAACATTATGAGTCTCATTCTTCTGTGGTTAATCACATAAGTCATAAAGTTTTGCAATTTTATGTGTTCTTAAATGTTTGTGGATGTGGTTTATCATCTGTGATGTTGTCACGTATTGCTTACACATGATATTGCTTAGTTTCAATTGAATGGAATTGTCTTAGTAATCTTCACTATGTTAACCATCAATACATGTACAGTCTACCTTGAATTTTTATTATATTTTTATGATGATCTCTAATGCAATTTATAGTGTATTTAGGTATGTATGTGATTGTGTGGTAAACCTCACGAAGACTTAGATTATTTGTTAAATCTAAATGCTGCACTGAAGTGTAGTGTTATAGGATTCCTTTTGTGCTGTACTGTCAAATTGAGTTCAGTCTCAATTTGTCTGCATGCATTTCCTTGCATATGCTTAGCTGGTCTGTAAATTGGAAGGGCAGAATTCATGCAGTTGACATGTTGGGTCAATGTGGTCCAATTACTAGGATTGTTTAAAAGGTTGTGTCCCAGAACTCATTCATGTAGCAATGAATTTATTACTTGGCAGGTGCAAAAAGCCCTTTTGGAAAATGTGATTATGGTGTCAAGGATGACTATGCCAAACATGAACAAAAATAAGGTTTCTAAAATGTTAAATCTTCAAAAAGTTGTTCTTATTAGCAAGCAATAGTTAATTATTTGCATACCAGGAATAATGCGAAGGCATTGATTTATTATGATCACTTTTATCATAACATTGATGGTCATTATATCTGGATCATATCGTTAAATCCCAAATGATTTTCCATTAATGATTGCAACTGTGCTTATATTTTTTCTCAACAAAGGAAAACACATGATGATTAAAATTTATGCAGATATCTGGTACTCCAATCATATCATCCTTTAACTGATGGTGTCACAGAAAGCCTAAACGAGTTTGGAAACAATTTAAATATAAAGTCTCAAAAATTAATTTCTCACATTTCAAAGAAAAAGAATGATTTGAAGCAATGTTATTTCATAGACAATTCCCAAATAGATCAGATGTGAGTTCATCTATACAGTATTGTTTTGATCCTCGAAGTGGCTGGAACTATGCTAAGTATTTCATTTTCCCTTTTCCAAAACAGCAAATGTTACGTTAAATACAATTCGAGGATTCATTTATAACACACTTATGAGATGCTTCATTGCATATAGCACTATATCTATATAAGTTTAGATCTATCTTTAATTTGCAATGAGGTATCAGATACATCGCTTAATGCATCTGTAAAAAGAATATTTTGATTAAGATGTGATTCCAATATCCATTAATTTCATCCTGAAACTTTTCGCAAAGATGTGTTCTTCGTTTTGATTACTATCAACCTAATCTCAAAAATGAGTATTGTGGTTTCGGATATTTGGTATTGTTTTTTCTAATGATTCCCCTTTAGGTTTCTGATTATATGTCAGAGTTGATGATGGCTTCAAAATTGGCTGATGATTAATTTTCTGTATTTGCTATTCAAATGTCCAGATTGATCAATGGCCTTGCTTTACTTTATACTTTAATTTTTTATTTGATGTACAGTGTGTCCCAAAAAAGGAAACTGGGAATCTAAGAATCTGGGAATATTTCTCAAATATGAATAATAATTAGAAAATATCACAGCAACCATATGATAGCCATATGATAACCATATGATAACCATATAATATGATGTACTCTTTCTTATGTAACCAAAAATGTATATTTTTCGAAAGGAATGGGGGTCATATTGAAGGACACTGGGGTTAAAACAACTTTGAATGGACATTGCGATTTAAAAGGGGTGTGATGTGTGTAACTTTAATTGGAATAAATGAATAAAAGAGTAATATCCTGTTGTTTGTTACTACTATCACTGTTATGATGGTGAACTTGTCTTGGCTGAAAGTGGCGCAAACCCATTTCTGACATTCCAAATCCCTCATTCATCTGTGGAGAAAAATAGAACATATTGGTATCATATGAAAGAAGACATAATGACGCAAATGATGGTACCTGCATCTACCCAGAAATAACAATTTAATTGTGGTTTCCTTTTTTGGGAAACCCTGTTTTAGAAATATTTAAACAAAAAGACAATAATGGAAAGCCAGAAATATTTCAGGAATTATTTGATTTCTTTCTGTGGTTAGTATACATTAATGATACAAGTGAAACCAGATTGATTTTTGTAATTGTGTTACATATCAACCTGGTATGGTCTTGGAATGACACTGTTTCTTTTCATTTTGGATTATGATTTGGGATAATTGGGATTAACTTACCTTATTACTGGTGTACTCTTGGATGTTTTCTTTTCTTGCTGTGTTTTAACCATTTTGGTGTTTTTTCGTTTGCACTTACGCTTACATATTATATTGGTTTGATTTTCTAAGTTGGTACTGTGACCTAGTACCTAATCACCAGAGCGTATTCTGGTGGTCACAATGGTACAGCATTTGCTCATGACTATATTTGCCTATTTATTTGTGGCATATAATGTACATCTTGGGGATTTTTATTTTATGTGAGCACCCACACATGAAGGCTCTGACTTTTTAAAAGCCGGAGCTTTATTAATCATGACATTGGCCTACCAGATTGTAATTGTAACAAAGTAAAGTGTGCATTAAGGCCATATGTACCTATATGATTTATGTTCATGAGTTAATCTCTCATGTAGATTTATATGACCTACTAATCAATGTACTGTTACAATATAATCTGGATAGAATAAATAATTGATTACTGGGGAATCAATACCTATATGCTACACTATTTTACTCTTGTTTACTTTGACATTCATACATTCCATAGACATATCTTCTATATATTAGCAATTTGATACTTTATTAGTACCTCATTGTATTATTGTATATTATTGATCATATTTAATTGTGTATGTGTATATTTAGGATTCCTATATCTGATTTTCCATAATATATGCACTGTTTATCTTGCTTTTACTTAATTCTTGTTGCTAGCATTGATGTTATTTGTGACTTAAGTGATGTAACATTAAGATCCCCCATATAAAAATCAGATTTATCTCAAATTATTGAAATGTATACAATATTTCTGAAAAATATAAATGTCATTGTCCATTATATACACCAATGAATGACTGTTTTATTTCATTTTAAAATTTATCTTTTACCTTTTTTCCTATAAACATGTAAAGTATTTTCACATCCTGATTATGCAATATGTTACTTGTGTTATGGAATTGGCTTCTTCCATTAAGCTATGTTTATACTCTTTGACTGTAGTCCTCAAATTGAATTGTCATGGTTCATTAAATACTGTTTTCCGACCATTGCACTTATAGTTTTGTATTACTTCTCAGTAATTTCTAAATTTCACAATTTGTCTGATGCATCATAATTTGTGATTACTTTGTTGGAATTGGAGTGTTGAATGTTTATGATCTATTTTTTGAAGATGTATCGAATCGTGTATTGCAATATGAAGGCCTGCATTTATGTCACAGCAATTTATTGAAATGTACAGTAAAACCTGTGTGTCTTGAGCATTTTTCGCTGAGAAAAAAGTTCAGTGTTCACGACAAAGAGGGTAATTTGTACAGTAATGTGTACAATATTTTTGCACAAATATAGTAAAATGTCTTATGTAAAACGTTTTTACCACATTATTAATCAAAATATACTTTTATTTGCAGGTCAAAATACTTTAGGGGAAAGAAAATATTTGGAGATTGGGATATAAGGGTTGAACAGGTATGTAACTTAAGCTTGCTTTTACTGTGAAATACAATTACTTGTCTTACCTGTGTAAAACAGATATAATATAAACCATTGCTTATTATATATCTTCAGCCATCTAGGCACTACCACTTATTGGTGAAGTGAAAACTTGATCCATTGCATATGAAGAAATAATGTTGAATGGCCCCCTCCCTTTCTCACACCATTCAACAACCATTACAAATCACAAAACCAAACCACAAAACCATAACAATGCTGTACAAAATCAGAAATCTTAACACCTTGACATCAGGCCAGATTCAATACCAGTAAACAAGGAAGGCATCTATTTCCCTTTGGATGCCATAGTTTATTTGGCATTAATCATTTTTCACAGTATAAATGGGATGCTGGTCACACTTTCACTCCACTCAATCAAGTCATGACATATACAACTGCCAGCTCATGTATATGACAATCACATCCCAAAAAATAATTTGATATCTCCTCAATTTATTTGATTGTATGCTCACAGACAGTGATAAATCCATATATTTACAAAGGCTCAAATTCAGAGTGAATGATGTTTCTCCTGGTATTACTTTCATATGGGATTAAGACTCCCAAAAGAAATATCATGTTGGCCTCAATTTCATAGTTAGTATTGATTTCATCTGATAAAATGAGAACATGAGCATCCGGCACATTAATTGCATCTCTGAGGAGCATTTGTACATTTTGAGGCAACAGTGTTGATTCATAGAAACAGAATTATGATTAACCCAATCCTGTTATCAGACACCAGACAGCAAGTCTTATATTGAATTTGAAATTATTATAATTTTATTGCATGGTTGTCCCCTAACCATTAAGCTTACAAAAATTGAAACTATCCCGAGTGTCTAGCAATACTATGTGATTATCATCTAGCTCTTAGTTTAAGTAAAATTTATTTTATGCAATGTTCCTGATAACTGTCATGAATCATTATATTTTATGGACTTAATGGGATTGCCAGAAGGATGTATGTTGACTCTTTGATACTCTTACATCTTTGAGTCGGGACTGGGTTTCTTCTGGCTCACTTCATTTGAGACTGAATGGTCAATCATGTAAGATCCTTCAACATATTTTTTTGTAATATGAATAAAATGTTCCATGGTCCTGTCATTTTGGCTTGCGATATTGGATCCTGAATGGTGAGGATGGGTTTTAAACATTATTTGTGTGTTCGATAATTTTTGGAATATAGGAGGCTTGTTTTCCTTATTACTAATCTTAGAAGCTTAATTTCTTGTTGTTTTGAGCTCCTTATATCTTTTCCCTTTTAAGAACTCTGATTACATATATACACATGAGAGTCACCCATATATGGGAATGGGTACTCGAGAATGAGTTTTGAGGCATTGTAGTGTACAATGCACTTCAAAACAAATTCTGGTAATATTATTCCAAATATGCTGTGATAATTCGAGAGAAGTACACTCACATCCTATTCTTGAAGAAATAACATAATAAGAGTGGTATAATAATCAGGAATCCAATGACGACACACTTATAAATTTACCTTGATTGGGTTAAATAATAGATAATGAGATTAGAGCATTTATCTTTAATTCACATTAACCTGACACAAACTGGTGGTTAAGTCTACATAATTGGGAATATCCAATAAACGTTGCTGGATCAATCAGGTTGAAAGCCTGTGTAAGAAAATACTGTATATGTTATAGTACTATAATTGAATTAATCAATTATTAATTAATCAATGAGAAAACATGATGTGTGACACTGGGAAAACAATATCCTCCATGAAACAGAAAAATATACATGAAAATCTGAACATTGTCTTGCTAGAAAACCAAAACACGTGCTTCCTAACTACATGAAGACACATTTTGTTTCTTATGTCTAAAAATTTCCTAACTACATGAAGACACATTTTGTTTCTTATGTCTAAAAATTTCCTAACTACATGAAGACACATTGTGTTTCTTATGTCTAAAAATTCAAAGAACAGTGTTTTGTCGGCAGGGTATCTTTTGTTAATGTCATTAACAGTTCCTTGAGTAAATGAGGTGAACTTGTGATAGAATGAATCATGCGTGCATTGCCTCAGGTGTCACACGAGTCTGTTGGCAATTATGACAGCAGATGTGCTAATGCAGTATCCACTTAAATGTAACATAATGTCTTTGATTTATATGTATTCCGGCACTATATTTCTGGATCTCTCGAAATCGGCAGAAAAAACTTTTGATGTGCTAGCTTGTAACTTCCCAAGAGTGACATGACATTAGTTTAAACACATCTATAGTTAGATTAAATAAAGATGTTGCCTCATTAGAACAACCTCATAGCATGAATAAGGTCATATTAACTTTTTATTTTGACATTGGTAGATGGTGTTGTATCTATTTTGCTGGAACTATCTATAGTTAGATTAAATGAAGATGTTGCCTCATTAGAACAACCTCATAGCATGAATAAGGTCACATTAACTTTTTATTTTGACATTGGTAGATGGTGTTGTATCTATTTTGCTGGAACTATCTATAGTTATATTAAACGAAGATGTTGCCTCATCAGAACAACCTCATAGCATGAATAAGGTTACATTAACTTTTTATTTTGACATTGGTAGATGGTGTTGTATCTATTTTGCTGGAACTATCTATAGTTAGATTAAATGAAGATGTTGCCTCATTAGAACAACCTCATAGCATGAATAAGGTCACATTAACTTTTTATTTTGACATTGGTAGATGGTGTTGTATCTATTTTGCTGGAACTATCTATAGTTATATTAAATGAAGATGTTGCCTCATTAGAACAACCTCATAGCAAGAATAAGGTCACATTAACTTTTTATTTTGACATTGGTAGATGGTGTTGTATCTATTTTGCTGGAACTATCTATAGTTAGATTAAATGAAGATGTTGCCTCATTAGAACAACCTCAGCATGAATAAGGTCACATTAACTTTTTATTTTGACATTGGTAGATGGTGTTGTATCTATTTTGCTGGAACTATCTATAGTTAGATTAAATGAAGATGTTGCCTCATTAGAACAACCTCATAGCATGAATAAGGTCACATTAACTTTTTATTTTGACATTGGTAGATGGTGTTGTATCTATTTTGCTGGAACTATCTATAGTTATATTAAACGAAGATGTTGCCTCATTAGAACAACCTCATAGCATGAATAAGGTCACACTAACTTTTTATTTTGACATTGGTAGATGGTGTTGTATCTATTTTGCTGGAACTATCTATAGTTAGATTAAATGAAGAAGTTGCCTCATTAGAACAACCTCATAGCATGAATAAGGTTACATAAACTTTTTATTTTGACATTGGTAGATGGTGTTGTATCTATTTTGCTGGAACTATCTATAGTTAGATTAAATGAAGATGTTGCCTCATTAGAACAACCTCATAGCATGAATAAGGTCACATTAACTTTTTATTTTTATTTATTTATATTCAAATTGACAAATACAAATGGTAAGTCAAAATGCCCATCACTCTGTTGAATTAAGGAATCATTCATCCCTCATAGGGCTGTTGGTGTCTGGACAAATGCTTTCAAATTACTTAACTGCCATTATTGTTACTCAGATATTGGTATATAACTAAATCATGACACTAAAAGCCTGGTGTGTACAAAAACCACTTTGATCTCAACCAACAGGAAAATAATCAATAGTAGAGTAAGTATTCATTTCAAACTTTTTTCTCTCCCGGAATACTAAATCATCCATATAAGGTCTGATGAGTTATTGTTCCCGTACTACCAGTCTGCATATAAATTAGATCTTCATTGCCATTTAAGGAGATGTGACTCGGTCTTCTGTCTTGTTTAATTAGATGTAACACCTAATGGTTTGAATAAACAATGTGTGAAATATTGTCTTCAGTCGGAAATAAAGTTGAAGGTGACATAACAATAGAGGACTTGCGGTATATAGCTTTATTTTCCTGTTGAAGTCTTTTCAACGGCGTTAGAGAGATCTGCATATTTAACCAATAACATGGTGTAAAATTTTCTACTTTATGACATTCTTTCTGTATTCAATTTTCAGGGACATTTACGTTTTCTCATAACGTTTTAGGACAATCCATTTATAAATATGTAATAAAACAAGATGTTATTTTGGTGTAGTATTAGCACTTTTCCACTCAAAATTGAGTTGGAATGGTGTTGTTTCTGCAATGAACATATTTTGTGCCATTCTGACATTTTATTCATTTGATTTAATTGACACTAATTTTCGCACCAAAATGCCACCAAATCTAGAACTGAAACGGTGCATATTGACTGGCTGTAGTTTGTACTATTTTAACTCATTCCATAATGTCAGATCGTTAAGACTCTAAAGAAAGGACATATGGATGTGGGTCCATCCTTCAAGATTGGTCCTTCACTACTTTTATAGCAGCTCATGTTAAAATGCAATGAATTAATCTTGGGCAAAGGATGTTGTAGGTCACATGTAAGTAGCACTATCCTAGGAGGAATTGTGTCTTTTTCCTTTGAGAAGGTTTGACATTGTGAATGACAAGCTGACTCTTTTAATTATAGAACATATAAATCAGTTGTTTATTCTTCATGTTGAAGTAGAAATAAGTGGTTAGGTGATTGAATGAGAAGCAATTGATCATGAAGTAGCCATGGTTATAAGATAATCATTGCGGAACATGCAAGATATATTAAGCTTATTTTAAGACCCAGACTCTTCCGAATGGATTATAGAGAATCCTTAATGACGTAGATATCAGTAAGTGATTGAACAGATTTCAGTGTCAGTGTCTGGATGTGAAATAAGCACAAGCAAGAGAAAGGCCCATAGAGTATTAATAAACACAGCAAAAATAAAACTTTTTAGAGTATAAAGAAAGCAAACCCCAAATATCCCAAACTATTATCTAACTCTTATTTCTTTGTCAGGTCTTTGGCTATTGTGCCTACACATTTATGAAGTAATGTATCTCTATTATATTTATGCGTTTGAGATACTGTATCGT